CAACATGTGGACTGATGCTGAGATAAAAGAACCGTGTGAGTACTGTGGCGTGTGTGTGTGTTCTTGTGTGCTTTCATCACCTTCACCAACTGCTGATTTCCGTCAGCAACCCCAAGCATCTTTTTAAGTCGCCATCAGACTCTCGTCTCGAACAGATAGGCATCAACAAAATGGACTGAGTAGCTGTACTGGTCAGGGATGTGGATGTGTGGAGTGAGCTGTTATAGGAGCCCTCCAGGTGCTTCTCTCCCTGGCCGCTCATGAGGAGGAGAGCATTCGTTTGGTACACAGAAAGAACTGATGTGTACCACTTTATAATGCACTGTTAGATAACAGTTGGACCTGTTGGACCACCACTTACCAGATATTATTTGGCTGAGCAACATTTCTAAAAGTGTTTTTATTGTGTTTAAATGCTATTTCTTTACTGTAGAAGTTGTAGGGGATTTTGTAAAGTGAAGAAAGCTGCAGTTGTGCTGTTTGTTTATCTCAGCACAGCGGTCTTTGTGGAGAGGAGTGAATTGTTCTCACAGCGGGGGGTTCTCACCCCTCCCCTTTCACCCCTCATTGCTCACTAGCAGCTCAACACAGTGACACAACATTTCACACACTAAACAACACTGTCCTAGTTAATCTGATAAAGGTTACAGTGAAAAATATTTTTTATTTGATTATAGTAATCAAAAAATATGTAGCCCCTGAAAAGTCCAGGCTTATTACATGCTTAATACATCAGTAACTACAGGGACTTCAATGGAAACAGGCTGAGCTACAGGTTACAGAGGTGTGTAATAAAACTTTGGGCCTGCCAGAGGGCCCTGACCATTTAAGGGGTTAAGTTTATTTCCATTCTACTAGGGGGCATGCAGGCATTGGGAATGGTCATTCTGTGGAAAAGGCACAAGAAGACGAAGACCCGGCACAAAAGAAAGCAGCCCTACGTCACGTCATACGCAACAGTTTGTCTCATTAGGCGTATTCCAGAGTGAAGGCTGCAGATGAGGTAGGAGAGACCTTCCTAGCACTGGTATATGAAGGCTGCTCTTCAGCGCTCACTCATGCATATTCAAGACTGAGTCATTCGAGTCTGAGAAGGCTGCACTGACACATCACAGTGGTGGACATTTTGGGTGACTGAAGGTCTTGAAGGATGCACCAGTTGAGTCCTTCTCACAGACGAAAGAGGCACCTCTCAGTGAAGTAACGGCCAAGAAATGAAGTTTTTGCATCCTTGGCATTGAAACACAGCTACTGGCTGCACTGTGGAAAGGTCAGCAGCAACCTGGGCTAAAGTTCAGGTTAAGGTAGGGCAGCATCATCCTGTAGCAGGATAGCTCTCTCCATAGGCATGATTTGTCATCTAAAAGCATCCTTCTTAGGCACATGTTGGCAGCCAAGTGTTGCAGCGGTTTTAAAACATTGAGTACAGTTACTGGCCACTTCATTGGAAACCCCTCCCTTGTTAGAGACTGTAGCTCATCTATTGTTGCACAGTTTGTATTAGCCATCCTTTACCCTGGGGGTCAACACAACCACTGAAAGGACCATATTAAAAAATCTCGACAAATCAGAGGGCCAGAGAACGTTTTTGTTTTTATTTCATTTTCAAATTACATTTTGCTAAAACCTGAACTGGGCAGCAAAATATAGGCACTTATATTATATAACATGAAAACTTGAAATATTCCAAAAAAAGTCCCTAGGAATCTTTTAACCCTACCTATGTACTTGAACTAGCACACATCACATTGCAGTGCATGCTGGATGTTGTAGTACAGAATAAAATTGTGCCCACGGGCCTCGTGTTTGACATATCGGCTCTAGCTCTTCACCAGTGGTAAGTTTCTTATCGCAGAGCAGCTGTTGGCTAGATATTTTTTCCCACTCTCAACCTAGCAGTGACAATGATGTGTAAAAACTGAAGCAACACTGCTGTGTCTGATACACTTGTACCAGTACCACACCACATTGTCACTGCTATGCTGAGAACGGACCACCACCCGAATAATATCTGGACAACAGTGGCCCTGTGGTCAGAAGCTGACCAGTGATGACCAAAGGAATCTGATAGATTGTGCAAACGTTATTGTACCTCTACAGAGTGTACTTGTATGTAGTGGTGTAATTACTGGGGGTTAATAAAATCTTTATTGGGCCCTTTATAGAGATACTGACTCAACTGTACACCAGTGACTCACACAGAGATCCACTTTCTTAACAGACAGACCTGATGACTATTTTTCTGTATCTTATTCATAATGCAGCTCATTTCAAACGAATCCTTCACAGCCTGCAACATGATATATTCATTGTTTATAATTTTACAATCTTAAACGGGTTTAGCTTAATGTTAAATGTCAGTGGCATGACGAGAGCATCAACTTGTTTGTGACATAATAGCAAAATTATGTTGTGGTTGTTTATTCATTAAATGTCACTTTCATGTTTTTTGCACTACTATTTTAAAAAAGATGGTTCTTTAAGGGTCTTTTGTAAAGTCAATGGTTCTATATAGAACCATGAACACTCAAAGAACCATTTGCATGCTTAAATGGTTCTTTGCATTGAGAAATGTATATTTTTCTATATCGAATCTTTTTGAAAAGGGTCCTATAGAGCACCAAAAAGAACCACATACAACGCATTCTCCATCAATCTGAAGAAACATTTCACCATGCAGTGAACTATTTAAGCATGCGGATGGTTCTGTGAGTGTTCATGGTTCTATATTGAACCATTGCCTTACCATCTTTCATAAGAATGTAGGTGTACCTGATAAAATGTGTAGGTAGAAGGAAGGAGTACCTAATATTGCAGTGCAATGCAAAAGCCCCATTGTAGAAAGCGGTCATGACAAGGATGGATCGCAGTATATCAAGGCTGTTCAATGCCACAAAACCCCCTAGCACTCCTACGTTCTGTGATTATGGGCAGCTCATTGCTCGGGGTTACTTCTTAGCAACCACAAAGCTGGAGGTTGCAGGATGTTCTCATCCATTGAGTACTACAACTGAGAGTAGCGCTTAAGCTGAAGTTGCTCCAATGTTGCCACTGCAAACCCATATATGCCTATCAATCATCCCACCAAGCACCTTCTAAACTGCCTACTCACCCTGTACACACACACTGTGAGCTGGAGAATGATGTAGTGCTCTCGCAAAAGTGGATAAATCCGTTTCAAAAATGTTAAAAAGTCACATTATGAAGTAGGTATTACAGAAGCATGTTTCGAGAGCACTTCCCTAAAATGTCAACAACAACAAAAGTACCCCATGTATGGTGTTTGTCACTTCAAAAGCTTCCACTAAGTGGTGCTTACTACAGTCACTCATTGTGTGAAAGTTATTTATAAAGATCTTGACTCCTTTGGTGATGGACATTGTGGCTTTACCCTGCTCCTGTGGAAAAGGCTTCATTTTGCTTTTTATTTTGCTTTGTTTTGTTGGACTCTGTGCTTACAATGACATGAGTCATAATGTAGGCACTGTGGGACTGAACAGGATGCAGAAACAAAAACCAAAACAGGCACATTACGGGGCATGTAGAGCTACAACACCAGTGCATTGGGTTAATATTGTTTCTTGCTGTATGTTTCTTAAATATTTTGATCTCATATGGAAAATACATATTGCTGCTGTCGAGACAAAACCTCGTACCTCCAAAATGGTAACTTTACAGGAGAAGGAAAAATCATACTTTACTTTTAATGTAAGTTTTTTTTTTGATGTCTTACAACCAGAATTCCAAATTTGGAAAAATATGTGTACACATATTTCTTAATATCCTACATAAACAACAAGGAGCCAAACATAATAATATGCTGCCTAATATGCTGTTGCTCCTCTGCGTGCCACCAAAACAGCTCCAACATGCCGAGGCACGGACTCTCCAAGATGAAGGTGCCCTGTGGTATCTGGTACCAAGATGTTGGCAGCAGATCCTTCAAGTCCTGTAAGTTGTGAGGTGTAGCTGTCACAGATCAGACTTGGTGTTCCAGCCATCTCTTGACGATTGATCAGATTGAGATCTGGGGAATTTGGAGGCCAGAGCAACACCTCAAACTCTTAGTCACGCTCCTCAAACCATTCACGAACAATGTATGCAGTGTGGCAGGATGCATCATCCTGCTGACAGAGCCCACAGCTATTGGGGAATACCATTGCCATGAAGGGGCTTCAGATTCAGAGCTTCACGCTCCCTTTACTGGCTTGTGTTCTTCCCACAGTACATCCTGGTGCCATCATTTCCCCAGGTAAGTGGCGCACACATGCCTGGCCGTCCACGTGATGGTAACGAAAACAGAACTGGGTGACCATCTTCCATTGCTTGGTCCAGTTCCAGTGCTCACATGCCCATTGCTTTTGATGGCAGACAGGGGTTAGTGTGGGCAGTCTGACTGGTCTGCGGCCTGCAGCCCCATATGCAGGAGAGATGCACTGTGTGTTGTGACACATTCCTCTCATGATGCATCATTGAAAATTTCTGTGACTTTTGCCACAGTATCCCTTCTGTCGGTTTAAATGTGCAGAGGTGTGTTCTCTGTAAGCTTATTGTTTACTTATTTTCACCTGGAAGATCAACAAAACCCATGTAATTTGATCAGGGGTGCCCAAACTTTTGCACACGACTGTGTGTCGCTAATGGTGTCAGTATTTAATATGTGCATATATGTCAGAAATATTCCTAAATATATGCCTAATTTATACTGACACCCTTTGAAAAGCATGTTTTCTGTGTATATGGGGAACTTTGAAAACAAATGTTAGCAGAAGCCACAGCCTTGATCTTTCTAAATGCATTCAACTGGTGGCTTAAAACAAACAAACAAACATACATACAAATAGATAAATAAAGAAATAAAATGCTATTTATTTCCACATTGTTCATTAAAATCCACATAGTTACATAATATGTTTCTGTGTTTTCTAACTCTTGTACTTCAACTCTTCTCTCCTTTCCTCTTTGTTTGGCTTTACTGCGCATGCGCGTCTCTCCGGACTCGTATCCGAGCAACCGAGGCTGGCCGGCTGTGTTAGCTCTAACGTTACTTTCATACCAATTAACGCTTTAAAAGCACTTAAAATGGACGTGATATCTGAAGCGAAGGTCAGACCTCTCTCTACGTTATCTGTGTTTAGCTTCATACCACCAAGAAGAAGTGAACCTAAAGAAAGCAGATATTTCAACTGCATTCCCAAGGTAACGCTGAAGTTCAGACTTAAACCGGCTAACGTTAACATAACATCACGGCACCTGTTACATAGCAGCTAAAGTTAGCCTAACTCCTAACTTAACGCTAGCTAACTTTGTTTTCGGACAGGTTTGGACACTGGAAGCCACATAATAAGGACTTCTGCTGTGTAGTAAAATACCTTAACTCTCTTGTCGTGTTCCGGGTCAAAACTGACCATTATTAGGCTACACTGTCTCTAAAATTACCAGTAAGTTAGCTACACTTCTCACCAGTGTTGCCTCAACAGTGATGATATGAACGTGTAAAAATAAAGATGACAGATTTGATGTTTTTATGAAGTCTTTACAACATTTGGGTACAAAGATCCTGTTCAAATTTTACCCTGTAGTTCAGAATCACACACACACACACACACAGTTCATGCCTCCTGCTTGTATGTGTGTGCAGTGTTTCTCTTTCATACACACAGTGGAGCTGGGTAATATGAAAATGTATATTGTTTTAGTGATTAAATTGTTAAAATACAATAAGTATGCTTTTCTGAACATGTGTATATCGTCAGTACTTGTAAAACACTGACCAACTGCATGTTTCATTATAAAGAGAGCAAAATTAGTCCTGTTTAACTGGATTCAGTGCAACACCATGTGACAAATATTGAATAATAATCATAGTTTGAAAGTATTTTTAAAAATGTAGCACTACTGGTTTTTTTTTTCTATTTTCCATCTGATCAGACATCTGAAAAAATAAATATCTTGACATATTGTATGTGGTAAAATTTTCTCGAAGTATCGCAGTATTATATTTTTTGCCATTTCGCCCACCTCTAACACACAGACACAGGAGCTAAATATTTCTTGTGGTAAAGTATAACCCAGACCTTCCAATGAAGTGCGATATAGAGGTCAGATCAAGTTTATGAGCATAACCTGTAAGATTTTGCACACACTGAGGGGCGAAACTGATGTTAGGGTCCTGTGCAGGACAGAGCTCACAATTCTCTCAGCACGTTTCAGTCTGCTGCCACCATAATGGCTAAAAAGAGGTTCACAGTGTTTGAAATCCATGAAATCATTGATCAAGAAGATGGCCATGATTTGCAAGACGCTCATAGCGAAATAGGAGAAGAAGCGTCTGAAACAGAGGACAGTGTTGTAATCAATTCAGAGCATGAGAAATTACTCGCTGATGAGGAATGTGATGTGCAGCGAAATGGGAGGCATTCATGTTAAAATATGCACAAATAGCACGTTCCTCAGCCCCCCTCTGAAACTCAGGGTAGAATGGCACCTCAAAATATGATCAGATTGGCCCAAGCGTCCACAGGAGTAGCTCCTACATCCAAAATAGCAATTGAAACCCATAAAATGCTCTAAAATGTGTGTTTGGTAATGAAAACAAATGTCCAATTTTAAGGTAAATAAGGTAATTATCAATAGTAAAATACAATAAAATAAGTGAATATCTAAGTAGTTGGCAAGTAAAGTCAATTAAACGAGTAACATATTCTCCAGGACTGTTTTGAGGTGGTTTAGCCATGCTGGGTCAAAACTGACTTGCAAACATCAATGATGTACCTAATTTGTGGACATCGTATGAGGGTTAAGAGTCTCCTATTAGTGCTGTCATAATCCAGCAATGTTTAAGTAGTGATATTTCACTGTGAGAATCACTGTCAGGAATTAATTGAGTATTAAAATGTGAAGGTGAAACGTTACTAAATTCACAAAGACGAGTTTTGGTCAGTCAGTGTCTAATGTGAATTACTTGCTATTTTTTATTTTTCTCATGATTTTTGGGATGTTTAGTGTCCTCTATTGTCCTCCAGTAAAAGAAACCCAATCAGATCTGTCTAGTGGGACCAAGCATAAGGGGATAGCCGCTCCACTCTAGAGAGAAAAACAGGTTTATTATAGAAATCAGTGAAAACATTTGAAATGTAAAACGTAAAGCGTGTTATTCAATAGTATTAGTAGTAGAAGTATCAATAATTCAGACTCATAGGCTAAATCTATACATTTCTGAAGAAAGTGCCTATAATGAAATCCATGCCTACAGATATCTAGCTTTCATTCTGACAACCTGCATTTTTTTTAAAGTTCTATACCTTTTTTCTCTCTAAGGCTGCAGAACTGTATTTGTATGACTGCATACATCGTGGAGTCGAAGGTTATGATAACAAGTTGCACCGTGACGACCGAGAACATGCCAAGCACCGTGGGTTGGACATTTTCAGCGAGGTAATTTTTCCCTACAAACCTTTTCGGTTAACTTGAACAAAACTTAACTGACCCATATCATACATTTTTTGTATTTTTTCCCTGAATTCCACTCATATGTCCATTTTTAAGGGTCAGTCATTGTTCAGTTTACACATGACCATTTTCCAGCCTCTCTTCATCACTTAGAATTACAAGCCGGCTGTTTTTGTTATTATGCCTTTAAAACTGATATGTGTAAATGACCTCTGTTCTGATTGGCTGACCTATATTGTTTCATATCAAAAAGCAGACCAGGCTGAAACATGCCAATGTAAATGCTGCTGTTGGCTGAGTAGGTGGATCTATAGGTATATTTAAATACTTTGTTTTTTATGACATCCCAAAAAATAACAAATTCAGTATGGGCTGTTTTTACAGATACGGACTGTACAGACTGCTGAGTGAATGCTGTCTTTTGAAACTTTAACAGTGCTTACTTTCAACAACAAACTCATTTATTTGAAAAAAAAGTGAGGAAAATTTGTTTTTCTCTGACATGGGCCCTTTAAGCAAAAACTGTCATCACTGGACAGCTACTGTGGTCAGCCCTTTCATTCCTATTGCCTATTCCGTTGACTGGCTGTCTGGATCTTTTACATCACAGCCCTGTTTGAGATTTACTGTTCTGCAGAGTTCAGAATCGCCTGGTTAGAATTTAAGGTTTAATCCTTATCCATCACTCCTGAGACGAGTCATGGGCTGCTTTTTTTAACTTGCCCTCACCCAGTTTGACTCACCACTCTGATATGTCATGCCTATGTTACACAAACTCACAGCAGAAGGGGAGGAGTGGACAGTGCAGAGTTTTCAGTTCAAACTTAGTCACCCTCAGCTAGGTTAGTTTCAGCGAGCTGATCGGGTAGCCATGCACACATTACAGTGCAAAAGTTTTTTTTTGGGGACGTTTCAACATAATGTATGTAAAATTCTACCATTGCAGCTCATAAACAAATTTGTTCACCATTTTGTGGGGATTTACAAAAAGATAAATGTTTCAGATTGTGGTGATTTCTGGGCAAGTTTTGCTGCTGAAGGTCAACACTTCATCTTCACCAAGCGTTTACTTGGTCTCCTCCTACGACTCATCTAACACACTTCACTTGAGCTAATGAAGTAATGGAACAGCCCTCAAGATGGTGTCAGGGATTTCCCTGAGGGGAAATGGTGAGGCCAAGTGGATGAGGGCTTGTTAAAACCAGTATTGAAATGGGCAGCTGATTATCCTCGGTTTGTGATTTGGGTGAGGCCTGTAAGATGTGGGTTAGATGTGAAACATACAAGAAACCAGATCTCCACTAATAAGGTCGGTGCATAACATTCACTCAGTCTAGCAGGCTTTGGTCTTTGGAATGTGTGTGAGAAAGAAAGGCCTTTGACCTTTCAGATAAAGTCAGGGTGAGGAAGGAAGCAGCTTCATACCAGTAAAACTTTCTTCTTTTACAACCCTCTCTGCCTCTGCCCAACCCTTTCTCAGGAATCATCAAGGCCCATAGCTGTGCTGTCATCATCTGAGTACGGGCGACGCGTGCAACCACTCCTTTACAAGCCGGGCCGCCAGTTCGTCCGAGTTGCTCACATACGATCAGAGTTTTACAGAAAGAATGGAATTACCAAAACGCTGGAGGAGGGGTATGGGTCTGTTGTTCCAGTTTGAGTGCCCATGGGGTATAAAATACATATGAGAACAACTGAAATGTCAGTGTTTCAAACCCTAAACGGAAATAAGATACAGAACCCAATGCTAAAAGATTATTATTGAAATGAGTTCTGCAACTGATATCAGTCCAAACATTTACTTATATGTATATTCTAAAAACAATAAAATATATTTTTCATCCTTCTCATTTATTTTTTTCCCATGACTATTAAAGGAGAAGTCAAGATTTCTGCATAATTCAGTTTTTGGGATGTAAACAAAGAGTGGTTTGATGTGAAACTTACCAACTCTGATTTCTTTACAGTGGTGATGTTAACCAGATGTCTGCAACACAAATATAGACATTTTATTTACTACTCAAAATGGCCAGTGAACCCACACTTGTCTTCTGTGTTTTTATGCGCAATAGTGATATTTGTACAATATTGATAGATCTGAAAAAGTAAGTTCCAAAAGTCATAAAAAATGAGAATAATAAATAAATCAACTAATAAATACAAAGATATTATAAAGTATTACAGAGCTACAAGTCTCAAATTGAAATACTCTACATCTTTGTTACACATTTTATAGTATAGTTTACATTTTGGTTTAAAAGAATAGGACACTTGTTCCAGTAATATGTTTTCCAATATAAATTTTTCTATGCAGTTCAAAAAGGTGGTTGTGGCTCTTTCCACAAAAGTAAAATTGTTTTCTTGGGTACTAGTGCTTTGGATTAATATGCTGTTCTTCTGTACATAATAATAGTGAAATCTGAAAAAATATATTTTCTTTGGGAACTGTTTTGTTTAACAATACCCTGCATATATCACTCCTCCATGAATATATTTTGAAAAATATATTTTAGGCCAAAACCTTAGCTCAAAACTAACTGAAAAAATATTTTTTTTAACAACAGACACTCATTCATCATTTCATGTAGTAACTTTCTGTGAGGGAGCTTTTAGAGGTATTTAAGACTTCAGACATCTGGGTTCCCATCACCACCACTGTAAACGACTCGGTAAGTTTCTCCAGAATAGGGCATTTCACAACAAACCGCTCCGAATCACTTTCTTTACGTCTCAACGATTGAATTATGCTGTGAATAAGCTTTCTTTGTGAAAGTAGTCCTGTAGTTCACATATAATTGGAGACAGAGACGTTTATATAGAAATTCTTTAATGGATAAGAAAATGGTGGCACCAAACATGAACACACATGAAATCATTTTTTTATTATTTTACACACCCTCATCTGCTCTCCTCAGTACTGGGTCGCTCGCACAGTGACTTGTCTGGGTTTCATAATCTGAGCCTCTAGAGCTGATGAGTCCAAACACTCCTTGGTGAGAAATGTAGATCTGTTTACTGGTGGTTCAGAAGATGAAACACTGTAGAAACGTCCTCTAGGCCAGAGTTATACTGTATGTGTGTGTCTGACAGAGCGTGGGAGCTGTTTTTATGTGTGCAGTTGTACTTGTGGTTAAGTTCTTGGTTTTGTATATGAGAAGTTCAAGGCATTACATTCCCTTGTGATAAGGTTCGGGTCATTTCAGTGTGTACAAAGAAAGTCTTGAGGTCCCCCTTGCCCTTCACGTTGATGATCCCTCGACAAGAGCACATGTATCCCAAAGTCTGTAAGATCCGACTTGTTTCCTCTGTTACCTGGAATAAAGAATAACAAAAGAAGACTGAGAAACAATCCCCAAAGCGCACACATGACTTATATATTCAGTCTTAAAGGGCTCATATGAGGGAAAATCTAATTTTCCTTCCTTTTTTAAAGTAAAAAGTTTAATGTAGTATGTAAACATATTTAAAAGTTTCCCCAGTCTGTATGGTCCATATATATAGAACCTAAGCTGCAAAAACGATTCGTTCTGAATTAATTGTTTTTGTGATGTAACAAAAACCAATACATTCACATATATCAGTCTATTCGACCTATAGATGTTTAACCACCTATTCGTTTTAAAGTTATAGTTATTCAGGAATGCTTTTTGAATGAGGTACAATACATGGCAGACGATCAGAACAAAGATCATTACATAGAATCAAATGCAAAAGTTTGGGCACCCCTGGTCAAATAACATGTTTTGTTGGCTTGCTAAGTGAACCTAAGTTAACACATCCTCTACAGGGAACACACTTCTGCACATTCTAGTTATTGCTTATTTGCTAAATTTAACATACTGGAGAAAAAATAACTTTAAAATGTGGCCTGTGCAGAAGTTACAGCACATTTTATTTTATGTTTTATTTTTTCCAAAATCTTAAACTCAGCAAATAAATAAAAATTGTGCATTACAATTTGCAGAAAAATACCATATTTAAGGTTGTTGCCTGTACAGGATGTGTTAACTTATTTTTCCTTAGAAAATCAACAAAACGTCATTTAAACGGGGGGTGTTCAAACTTTTGCATGCGACTGTCCAATCTGTCTTAAAGGCACAGTAAGAAAAACGGCCTCTTTAATTCTTTAAATCAGATGATCAGAACATGAAATGCTGCCACACGGACTGCATAGTAGTAAAGAACAGGAACATACTTGGATTTTCCCCAGGACCCCTGTGCTCTCCATTCTGCTGGCCACATTCACAGTGTTTCCCCAGATATCATACTGCGGCTTCTGTGCTCCTATTACCCCCGCTATCACTGGTCCATGGTTTATTCCTGAAAAGTAGGAAACACAACTTTGTTAAAGGTGGGCTTTGACAAGTCATTGTGCCAGTGGACACCTCTGCTATTACTAGTACAAAGAAACCTGGATACAGTGTGATCACTCATCTGTGCATTTTTTTCTACAATACCTACTATCCTGAACTTGGTTTCCTAAAATGCTGAGAGATTTGGGACACACTCACTGGTCCCAGAAACTCATTGAGATGATTCAGAGCTGGCCTGCATAATTTGAGGCATATGTAATTACTCTGATTACTTAGAGACGATCCCTGATGAATCAGTGCAAATTGATTATATTACAGCATTTTCAGGCTGAATGCATGCAGCGATCAACAGAGCTGAAGACTAAAATGCAGGAGTAAAATGTAGGCTACAGTGGGGGATGATTCTGTCACTCACTTCTCTCACTTACCCACTCGCAGCTTGAAGTCATTGAAGGAATGTTTGTTAATAACGTCAAGTTTCCCCATCAGAGCAAAGGCAAACTCGACCATTGTGCCAATGTGCATGTACTGCCTGTCATGGTCCTTAAAGACACAGAGAGAGGGAATCATTTCACTGATTTGTATTTTCAGGTATTATTTGGGGGATTTTACCCCTGATTTAGTCACAACCAATTCCATGTACTAGCTAGGTCTTTCCCTTTCACATGATGCTACTTAGCTGGGAGAGTGAAGGCTAACATGTGCCTCCTCCGAAATATGTGAAGCTCCACCCGTCTCCACCCACCCACCCATCTTTTTAAACTAACACAAAGCCCTTGGACACCTCAACATGCTTGAAGGAGAACACTAATTGCCAATTCTCTTACATCAGCTAAAAGATGCCCATGATGGCTAGCATCATGCTGAGTGATGGGGGCAGATTTTGATGCGTCTCTAATGTACTTCTATTGAGATGTGAGGTTTGATAAAGAGTTAGCAAATCAAGACAGGCCAAAATTTCAGCACCAAGGACAGCACCACTAAACCTCCAAGAAACTTAAGATGACATGTCTAGTTTACCGTTCACAGAGAAATGTGTTACCTTACCTGAGCATACTCTGGTCCAGGAGTGACGTTAAGTCCAGTAGCAGCCATGTAGGTGCTGCCGATAGTCTTTATCTTCTCCACGCCACTGAATTTGGGCTTGGAGAGTAACTGCCAATGATAGCAGGACATAAAGTTGGATAGGGAATTACAAGGACATGCATAAAATGAATGCAAGACCCGCTCTTATAGTTAAATACTTTTTTCTGTTTTCAGTGGACATGCCCGGGTCCCAGACATCACCCCTATATTCAGATCTCATTCACGTTAATACAAATATGTGGTCACGCTGATCAATGATGGCAGTTCTATCCCAGAAAATTCAGGTCTCATGCAGCTTTTCCAATCATAATTGAAAGTGAAATTGACAGCGACGAAATAGATGTTCAGCATAGGGAACGTGTTTCTACAGCATTCTGTACCTCATCAAAATCTGCTATAATCTCATTGAGAAGTCTGAGACACTCCAGCCCCTCCTTGTTCACGTCAGACTCGGTGTAGAATTCCTTGAAGTCCGGGATGGAGGCAAACATGACGCACACCAGATCGTATGACTGGTGGTAGAGGTCCTGTGAGAAATGATAGCAGACACCATTAGCAATGTGGAGAGGAGGGGGCCAAGACACTGGTTTTAACCCGTTTAGGACACCTGTGGTAGCCTTGAAGTGCTTCTTAAATTTGGGAAAATCATTTCTTACTCATATCTCATTAAGACAGGGTGAGAAATTCTGTTGAAAGTGCAGGTTCAAGTTTTCAAACTCGGAGGGTTTTGGATAAGTCTCTTCTAACTTTTGTACAGAAATATCACCCCAAATGTTTATTAGGCCTCAGCAGCAGAAATTTTGATGAATGTCGAGTTGGATTGACATAAAAGTCGCATGAATTCCGATCTGGCTGTTGAGACGATTTACATTAAGATGTGCGGCACATATTTACAATACAAACCTTGTCAAAACAAAATAATCATTCATTAATCGTAATCGAGGTACAACAAATTAATTGTGATGTTGATTTGAGGCAATACTGCCCAGCACTAGGACAGACTGCTATCAACAACTGATAGTCTACATTATGGAGAGGAGCTTCTTCTGTGTGATTTTCTGGGTGTTGAGAGGCAAAAGCTAATAAAGCAAACACAGTGCAACAAGAGCAACACAGAAATGCACAAAGAAGAAGGAAAGCAAAAAGTTTTATTCAGTCAGAATACAGTGCTGCACAGGCTCAGCAGACTGTACATAATACTGGTGTTAATGTTAGTGTGGATAACTCCAGTGTTAATCAAAAAGAGTAATCCATTACAAGTTACTAATCACTTCTCTCAAACTGTAATCCTGGAAAAAGAAATCTTTTTCCAAAGATTTTTTGGAAAATTTTTGCACAGAGCCACAACTAATTTAAAAATGTTTAACCGGGGGGCCCCATTCCTGTGCTTTGCCTAGAGCCTCAGAATCACTTAATCCAAATGATGTGAGGAGATATTTTATTATGGTTTTAAAAAGCTATTTAGTCTTATTTTGCAGAAAGGTTTTCAGTAGCTCAATAGCTTGCATTTTCCATGAGGATAATTACCATATAATTACCATCTAGGCTTGCTGCCATTGCTTAATAATTCATAATCCGTCAGTTTGACAATATTTTGGTTTCCAACCAAATGAGTGCATGTAATCTTTTCTATCATACACATTTTTACTACCAGTAGATTAGAATGACTGTACAAATAATTTGGATAAACTTGACACTTACTTAAATTATTGGTTTCAAAAATCTATTTAGTCTTATTTTGCAGACAGAAAACCTTGCATTACAGTTTTGCCATGCTTTTGCAATTTTTGGACATCTAAATTGGCCTTGGTGAGATATTGGCACTGGTGTGCTGCGGTCACAGGCGCAAGGCCATAGATTAGCATACCTGTGCTAATACAAACAGCTACGAAGGCAAACCCATTACACCACAGTTTCATCACTTTTTGAGACAAATATGACACAAAAACTACATTTATTAACATTCCACAAAGAAAAATAGCTCCAATCTAGCACTGCTGCACAGAACGGCTACTAAATAAAGGCCTTCAGGATGTCTACATAGGGAACCTCAGTCTCCTCATCAAGATTTAATGTAAACAAACTACGAACTTATCAGCTAATAGCTCAAGAGATCTATCTACACATTTTCATGTAATACTTTTAAAAGTAGTAGCAATATCAGTAGCTCTCCGCAGATTAACAACTTCCAGCAGGCTAGCAATGTCTCATTGCTCATACAGCTCCACCTCATAGATTAGCTTCTCCTCTTTGGCTCGTTTAACCCTGTTTTAATAAAAGGCAGTGGGCTTAACCTCAGTATTTAAAATAGAACAGCGTGATAAAAAACATTGCATGCACTCATTTGGTTAGAAACCAAAATATTGTCACATTGCCGGATTATGAATTATTAAGCAATGGCAGCAAACCTAGACGGTAATTACATGGTAATTATCATCATCAGCTATGAGTTAGGCTCACAGTTGCTTTGTAACTGAATTTCGATCATGCTTATCGTGATAATTCTGCAGATGATAATTGTTTGTCTACATTTACGTTATTAAATGGTCCAAGCTTTATTCAAGCAAAAAAAGTGTTGACTTCTGTACCGTAATGATACAGAATGTAAATCAAATGTGGTTCATTACCAGTGTAATTCTGTTGAACTTTATTGACATAGCAAAACCATGTTAACTCTAGATTTCTAAGAATGACTTTAAGAATCAGGGATGATGTGAATTGATTCAGCGTTTATTTTTGAGTGTTTTGAGATTGCAGCGCTGCACTGCTTCATCAGGTTGTTTGGTCAGTTGTTTGTATGTGTGATGCACTGTATGCTGTGTTCACTCTGCTTTTGTTCACACGTGTCTATTTTGCATATGCTCACCTCATTTTTCCAATTACGACCCAAGAAGTGTTCCGCCACATGAGCTGGCAGAACGTTCTCCAGAAGCACGCGGTTGAGGTTCTCCATCGTCTCGATCTCCTCACACTCCCGTTTGAACTTGTTCTTCCAGAGAAAGTCTAACCTACAGTAATATTCATTCTGTTACAAGAGGACACAGAGGTAAAGAGATGCAGACATCTGATCACCTTGTGTGATTTTCACAAAGCAGAAAAATAGAGAAAACTCAGTGCACACACTGCAACTGTGTTAAACAGCACACTGGAGACTTTTCCTGGTATGTCAGGCTGTTATACTGAACAAATTACATCTTTCTTTGTGTGGTTGGTATATGAGCACACATTTACCACAGAGAGTTAAACAATACGCTTTATAGGCTCAGTCAGAACTCTGTAATCAGTAAACTGATTCTGCTGTACCACCTAGGGCCTGACCGCTATGAATATGTTGTTACTGATAAAGATACAGACTTTAAGGGGCTAAAAATTTCAAAAACCCATAATTTTTGTTTCAGTTTTATAAATATAAAATTTCAACAGCGCTTTACTGAACAGATATGATTGTCACTTCTCAATTGTCACGCGGTATTGGTTTCTGTTACATATTATTTTTCTTATTTTCATTAATTCTCTTAATAAAAAAGAGTAGTTTGTGTTGTATGTTAGGTTTAGATGCATTTCACATGTTTTGCAATAACCGTGGTTGTGTTTTGTGTTCCAGTTCACCAGTTCAGCCTGTATTAATTTCACCGATACCGATAAAACTGAGTCATCAATATCAGCTGATATTATCAGCCAACTAATATATCAGTCGGCCCTAACAGCAGAGATTTATTGCAAAGTAGTGCTCCTAAAATTTTGCAAAATCAGATTGTACTCTTAAAATATGTAATCAGTTCTAGCTTAAGAGCTGCGCTTCATTAAATTGGTTTCCATGGCTGAACAGCTGCACAAAATGCTAAGATCCCGATGCACAATGCCAAGTGTCAGCTGGAGTGATGCAAAGCATGCTGTCACTGAACTCTGGAAACGTGTGGAAAGGTGTTCTCTGGAGTGATTAATCATGCTTCACCATCTGGCAGTCTGATGGATGAATCTGGGTTTGGCGGATGCCAGGAGGATGCCAGTCTCCTACTGGAAGGCATAGTGCCAACAGTAAAGTTTGGTGGTGGGGGGATAATCATCTGGGGCTGTTTTTTTTAGGGCTTGGGCCCTTAGTTCTAGTGAAGGGTGATGTTAATGCTACAGCAAACATTTTACCTTTCCTGTTCCAGCATGACTGAGCCTCTGTAAAAACATGGTTTGATGAGTTTGTTGTGGAGGAACTCCAGTGGCCTGCACAGAGCCCTTACCTCAACCCCCCTGAACTGGACCATTGACTGAGAGCCTAGTCCAGCATCAGTGCAACATCAGAAGTGGGCGAAAAAAGAAGCTGACGTCAGCTTCATGGAGAGTTGAAAGGCATGAAAACGGATGAGGAAGTTGCTCTGTTTCTGTTTGACAGGTTACATTAACTTTTTTTTCTGCTTCACAGAACCTATAGGTCAGTATTGTTTTGTCCCGTTTGCTAATGTTTGTGACAGCAACTGGTCAGCTTCACAGCAGCAACTGTAGTGACCGTTTGCTAACCCAATACCTGTCTAATGTTAGTTACATTACTTGCTGTGTGGTTATTTGCTCTAATGTTATTTTATGGTATTTGTCTGTAGAATGTAGATGGGTTTTATGGCCACAAAGAACTAAAAAAAGCAAGTTTGCCAGCCCAGTGCCTTTCGCCTTGGCAGTGTGTATTCATGAATTTGGGGGGCAGAGTTCAAATATAAACAATCATTAACCAGAATCGTATGCTGCGACTTTAATTACCAGAAAACATACCATAAAGAATTCTGGGTAGCTCCACCCCAAGTGCTACAATATTTACACTGATCAGGCATAACATTATGACCGCCTCCTTGTTTCTACGCTCATTGTCCATTTCATCAGCTCCACTTACTATATAGGTGCACTTTGTAGTTCAGTGCAGTAACACTGATGTGGTGGTGGTGTGTTACTGCAGTGCTGAGAATGATCCACCACCCAAATAGTACCTGCTCTGAGAGGGTCCATGGGGGTCCTGACCACTGAAGAACAAGGTAAAAGGGGGCTAACAAAGTATGCAGAGAAACAGATGGACTACAGTCTGTAATTGTAGAACTACAAAGTGCACCTATATAGTAAGTGGAGCTGATAAAATGGACAATGAGCATAGAAACAAGGAGGTGGTCATAATGTTAGGCCTGATCGGTGTATGTTATCTGAGACTGTGAGGTTCTACTTTTTATTTGTGTTTAGGTAAAGCACTTTTTTCGTAATGTTCAGCCCCTTAAAATAATTACATTATTTGTAAATGATATCAGGTTGTTTTGATACAAAGCAAAATGTACTGTAATTCTCAGTAGGAGGATGAGACAAACTACCTCAATAATGTAGTAATTTTACTCTCTTTACTTTATTTTCTACTGCTGAAACTTTGCTGTAGCTTCATGACTTTAGTTGGTAGTTTAGTTAACTGTGACTCAGCTGCTGCCCAAAGTTTCTGGGCTTTTGCTCTCAAATCAGTCATTTGTGTTAATTACTTGTCAGAAGTGACCAATTAAAAATGACTCACAAATGAAGGGTTTACAATTATTATTTTTCATAAATTGCCTGGGATACATCTGCATTATTTCCAGCTGAAGAGCTGCTTAATGATGCAATTAAAGAGAAATGAATGTGATAATATCTTTTTGGGGTTTGTAGTTCTGACACCTTAAAGAATTGTTTTCCACTGGAAGTCCTGACCAAGATGAATATTTCTAAGAGACTTTATGGTCCATATGTTCCATGTATAGCTGATGGTGCTCTGCAGTGTGAATGCAGCTGCGTCTGTGCCTGACAACGAGCCGTCACTACACGTGAATGAGTTCACCTTTCTAATGCAGATGAGTCAAAACTGGCACACAATTCAAAAATCTTTCCACATAAAAAAATCTAATAAACAACATTCACATAAGTGCCTGTGTTCTGCGGAGAGCTTTCACCGTCTGAATGTTCTCACAAATCAGAGACCCACCTGCCTCGCCAGCACAAGCAGGGTAACGAAGAAGATGAACAAAGACACAGAACCCATCGTCTTCAAGTCTTTCAGAACACCCGGCCTGGAAAAAGCCAAAGAGGAAAAACTCAGAGAGTAAGAAGTGAGAGAGGGAAAAGCGGATCTTTGGTAAGTGGGTTCAGTGAGAAGAAAGGTCTTTTCAGCAGCACCTCGGGTGGGTGTCTGACTCAGGTTTGTAAGCTCAGTAGCCGAGAGCAAAATGTCAGAATTTCAAATCTACATATTATAACTTTCCCTTCCGCCCTCAGGCCAAAACTAATCTCTGAGTCACCTACACAGAGGGAGGAAAGAAAGACAGAAAGAAAGAAAGAAAGAAAAGAAGAAAAAAAGGCAAAGTAAAAAAGAAAGAAAGTAAGAGAAAAAAGACAAAGTAAAAAAGAAAGAAAGCAAGAGAAAAAAGAATAGAGTAAGAAAGAAAGAAAAGAAAAAAGTAAAAAGCAAGAAAGAAAGCAAGAGAAAAAAGAAAACAGTAAACGAGAAAGAGAAAAAAGCAAGAGAAAAAAGACAAAGAAATAAACCAAATAAAGAGTAGAATGGAAAAATAAAGAATAAAAGAAAGAAATAGAAAAGAAGACAGTGTAAGAAAAAGAAAAAGAAAGTGAAAAAGAAAGCAAGAGAAAAAAAAGAAAAGGAAAAGAAGACAGTAAAAAAAGAAAGTAAAAGAAACCAAAGAAGAAATAAAGAAAGGAAAGAAGGAGAGAAAGACAGAAAAGAAAGAAGAAAGCAAAAGAAAGGAAAGTTGGAAGAAAAAGGGAGAAAGAAAAAATCAGAAAGAAAAAGAACTTAAAAGTTAGTTAATAGAAAATACAGTAAAGGAGTAAAAGAAAAGAAAGACAAAAGAGAAAAACACGGAAGAAAGAATGATGAAAAGAAGGAAGGTAGAAGATGAAAGTAAGAAAAACAAAAGGAAGGAAGAAATAAAGAAAGAAAAAGAAAGGAAGATAATATCAAAAGGAAACGCCAAAGAACAAGAAGAATGAAAGAAAAAATTGGAAAGAAATAAACAAGAAAGGAAGGATTAAAAGTTAGACAGAAAAGAAAAAAGGAGGACAAGAAAAGAAGAAAAATAAGAGAGCAAAAAGAAAGGACAAAAAATGGAAGGAAGAAAAAAGAAAGAAGGAAAAAGAAAAGGAGAGAAAGGGAGAAAAAATAACAGAAAGAAAAATACTAAAAAAGAAAGGAAGAAGGACAGAAAAAGTAAAATGAAAGAAAGAACAAATGAAGGTATTAAGAAAAGGGGAGAAAGAAAGGAATGGGGGAAAGAGCAGAAGATAGAAAAAAGTAAAATGAATAAGAAAGAAAGGGAGATCAGTTATAAACTGCACTGTTACTGAAAGAAAACCATAAAGTACATCAGGATGAACAGACAGAGAAAACGGAGAGAGTGACAGATTTTCCGGCAGATGGTCTGGCTTAACGGTCAGTGCCTTAAATTACCTGTACGCACCCTTCCTGCTCCAGCTGTCAATCATCTGGGAAAAAATCAATCCAATGCAATCTGCACTAAGCCTGCTATCTCAGCATCTGCCACTCATAATCCCCAGCGTTATGGAGACGGAGGGGCTTTTTCTGTTGCTACTCGGTAAATCGCCCTCACAATTTTCCATCTCACCTATGAGTCCCATCACAATTCTACACCCCCCTGTCCTGTCCTCCTGAGGGTCTGTGCGAGTGGGTGCAGGTGTGGTACCTGTCCAGTGGCTGGGTTCTATAGAGCGCTGTGCTGTACTCATCCAGTACAGAAGCATGGGTCTGCAGGATGATGATGTTGTAGCCCACCACTGCAGCCAGCATGATCAGCATCTTCAGCTCATAGTTTATCCTCAGGAACACGGAGCAGGACACCAGCCCCAGGATACAGCTGTAGATGAAGTACTGGAAGAGAAAACGATGGGAAAGACAGTGAGATCTACAATTTAGACAAAATATAGTCCTGTAAAACAGAATGAAGTGGAATTTTTTCTTTAATTAAAAAATTAATCAATCAAAAATTCATCATTTACACAAAATTTAAAACCTGTCAAACAAAACACCTCACATACATTTAGAGACTTTGGCTGTGTCCCCTTTAACTCATTAAAATCCGTCCCAAGAGTAGTCGGTGTGTGTCCATGTCAATGGCACAGCGATGGAGGGTCCTGGGGCGGGGGGCGGTTGGTGGGGGGCAGACACCATAGATTTCTGACCGTTAAAAATACATTCTCCAGTGCCAAAGAAAATAATACTAAATGTACAGTCACCATGAGAAAAGGTGCTGAGCTCCTTCCTCATGCCCTTTTATCAACATTTAACAGATAAAAGAGACTCACAAAACTCTCCTTAGATCATTATAACTTCTCCATCACCATGGCAACATTTATGTGTCTTTCAGGTAAAGACGTTTTGTAAACATAAACAGAGCATTAACTTGATCTCCTCCTGATGGTGATAAATATGTCTCAGTATGTGCTTATGTGTTAGTATAGACTGAAAAACACAGACTTACTTTGCTCTGCTTTAAGCTATAGCCCAAGTTTCTTGCTGAAGTAGTTTCTCATTCGCCTGCTTCCTGTTTGAATTTTCCTGTTCCACCTTAAATGGTGCCGCGGTTACATTCTGCTGCCTCAGGCACCATTTAAGGTCAAACTTGAAAATCTGAACGAGTTGCAGATTAAATGTATTATGAAACCAGCTGGAGTGATTATAAATACAAATAAGTCTATTCGTCTCCAAATTATCAATGTTTGTCTTAATTCTCCCTTTTTGCCTTTTCGTTAGCTACTAACTAGGTGAGATTGTTGTCTGTGTTGCTGTGACCAGCAGTCTGTGTGTTTAACCTTCAGGGTTAAAGGGTGAATTAACCCTTTAATATGCATTAATATGCATTAACTCCAGAGTTTAAGACCATTTATTGTTAAACTGTGTTGAATGATCAGCAGAGCTTTATTTTACTGTAAAGGAGGATTATTTTATTATTACCTAAAAGTCTAATTCTGCTGTGGAGCCACAACAGTAAAAGAGCTGCATGCAGCTCCAGAGCTGCATGTTGTCGACCCCTGCTATAGGCTATTTACAGTTGTATGCAAAAGTTTTCTAAGTGAAATTAAGTTAACACCTCCTCTACAGAGAACACATTACTGCACATTTTAGTGCACAATAACTGTTTATTTGCTGAAATTAACATATTTAGAAAAAAAAAAACAAACATAAAATATGGCCAGTACAAAGGTTAAGGCACATTTGTAATATCTTGAGGGTCTTAATGAGAATAAAAAAAAAAACTATCTTTGAAATGGAATTCATTGAATACAAGTCTTCAATTTTAATATTTAAACATATTAACAAGTTACAATTACTTAAGTGTTGTCCACCTTTTGATTGAAGTGCAAAGTAAATTCCCATTCATATGTTTTCTTGTTCAAAAAGGTAGTTTGTGACACAAAAACCATAAAAATCTATGAATTCTAGACTTTGTTAGATCATTTTTTTTTACATAGCAAATACATGCAATAAGAGCACTGAGCAATAACACCGTTGAAGGGGATAAAAAGGGATATTGACCTTAAAGGGTTAATGTCTTCTTTTTAATCACATGATTACAGACACTGATCCTGTGAAGTTTCAGGTTAGTTGTTTTGTGTATTTGTGTCTTTTGGGAGAGCCACAATGGAACCTACCACACAAACCACATACATACAACTGCCTTAGTCATTCTACAGAGATTTCTAATGACCATCAGTGCAGGTTCACTTGGCTCAGACAGACAGGTTAAAGAAGAAGAAGAAATCTTTATGAATAATTGACTCTGAATGTTCTCTGTCTTGACATTTTTTCAAGCTGTCTGAGGGCAAAGAGAGCACAATAAGTATGTCCTCCATATTCAGCACAAACCTTCTACTACTTCTACTGTTCATAAACACATCAAATACAACACAACACAATTACAAAACAGCACAAATACAACATCGTCAGAGTCAATATGTTCAACAGAAAATAACAAATCATTTCAGACTTATTTACATATTGTTATATGCAAAAGTTTGGGCGCCTCTGGTCAAATGACATGTTTTGTTGATTTTCTAAGTGTAAATAAGTGAACACATCCTCTACAGAGAACACACTGCGGCATGTTTTAATGCACAGTTACTGTCTATGTGCAAAATTTAACATATTGGGGAAAAAAAGCAAAAAATGTGGCCTGTGCAAAGGTTATGACACATTTTATAGTTTATGATTTTTTTGTTAATCTAAGCAACTAAATAGAAGTAGCGCATTAAAATTTGCAGAAAAATGTCATATTTAAGCGTGTTCTCTGTAGAGCAGAGGTCTTTAATTAAAATTCAGGTCCAGTCAAAGAAATTTCCGCAAGCAAAGGTCCAGAACATCATAATGACTAACTTGCATTATGATTCAGTGCCATATACTGTTTACTGAAGTAGTAGGCATATCTGCAGTTTAAACGTATTATGAAACCAGCTGGAGTGATTATAAATGCCAGTAAGTCTATTAGTCTCCAGATTATCGATGTTTGTCTTAAATCTTTCTCTTTTTTATTAGCTACTAGCTTGGTGAGATTGTGGTCTGTTGTGGTGACCAGCGGTCTGCGCACCAACCTTCAGGGTTAAAGTGTGAATTAGCAGTTCTGCATTAACTCCAGCGTTTAAGACCATTTATTGTTAAAACTGTGTTAATCAGTCATTCACTGTAAAAGAAAGCTTTGCTGATGATTCTACGTTTACCTAAAAATCTAATTCTGCTGTGGAGCCGCAACAGGGCAGGAAAAGAGCCGTTGCCGACCCCTGCCTTAGACACAAAGAAACTCAGATATAAAGACATACAAAATGATGTAGCATAGCAAACACAAGACAAAGAGCACTAGAAACAGGAGCTATAAATACAAACAGACACGACCAGAAACACTTGGCAAAGAGGACTAAAAAAAAGACTAAACACAGGTAACAGTGATAACTAAGGGGTGGAGCTAGGAAGGCAAGACAGGCTGAACAGAGAAATGAGTGGAGACAAATTAGGAAATTACATGATACTGTAGCATGTTTAAAAACGTGAGCATGTTAATTTTTGGGTAGAGCATTTATTGGTTGGGTTCTTTTGCTGTTTACTACCCGGTGTCAACCAGAGGAGGATGGGTTCCCCTTTTGAGTCTTGGTTCCACTCAAGGTTTCTTCCTCTTACTCTTAGGGAGTTTTTCCTTGCCACTGTCGCCATTGGCGACGCTCATGGGGGCTTGGACCTGGATTTTTTCTGTAAAGCTGCTTTGTGACAACACCTGTTATAAAAAGTGCTATATAAATAAACTTTGACTTGACTTCTTTTGGACTCTTGCTCTGAAGGCAGGTCGAGCTGCTGACTGTGTTCTGACTAGGAAGCACTTAGGCAGTCTCACTCTGATGTCTGTGAAAGCAGGACGTAGCTTAGGCTTAGAGCAAACTGTTAGTTCTCTCATGTACGGCGTGGCTGTGGCAAACTACAGCTGTGTAATAAAGCACAAAGACTTGTGCAAAAGCAGTGTTCTGTTTAATAAAGGGGAACGCTACAATATAGTATGCTATGACTATGACGTTACCTCCCAGAGATTTGTTTATTGGGAACTAATTTTAAAGAGAAATTGTAATTAATTTCTCATTTCAAAATGTATCTCAATGTTTTGTGAAAGTGTAAAAAAAACACAAACATTTACATGTTAAAATGAAGCGATGCTAAGCAAAGACAGTTGTGAGCGGCTTCCTGGTAACAGAGCATAAACAGAATATGTTAAAGGAAGTGAGATCCACATTTTGGAACTGCATGAAACAACAGGTTGCTTCTCTGCTTGTGTTTGAACAGTTTGGAACAGTCTAAAGGCACGTGATCCACGTGATGATCACGTCACCATCTGAAGCACAATCTGTTTGGCAGTAAACATGTGAAGGTGCTAGACCCGTGCTCATCACTGGCATCCTCCAGTCCCCCTAACGCAACATGTTTTGCTCAGCTTTGTTCTGTTCTGGCACACAATCAACTGGCGTTCTTCTGCTGGGCTACAACAAAGCTGTGTAGGTGTTATGGGCTGCTGAGGACCGGTAGGAGCTGAGAAGCACTACATATTCGCCAGCGCTTAGCTGTGAAATGTCAATCACTGTGCTGTGATTTGTAAAGAGGCTGACTTTGGATGCTACACATAACAACACAAAAAAGCTGACTGACTTATTACATGAGAAAATGAGCTTGAGTGAGTGTTTTGTGTGCCAAAGCTTTATAATGGCTTTTGCCACATAGAAATACAATTCAATTGTTCCACATATTTTTCTACATTTCTGTGTGATTAAATGGTTAAAATGTAAACAAAGTCATTCAGAGTGGTGAACATGACATGCTCTGTTTTAGAGAAGTTTGAGAAGTGCTCACAGTGGTGGAGAGAGGAACCAGGCGTCTCAGGAGTATAATGCCTATAATGCCTCCAAAAACTCCTCATAGAAAGTTAGTACATTAAATGGTTACCAATACACTGCCTGATTTCTGAGACATTGTTTTTCAATAGCTCTGAGATAAGATTTCGGCCTAAAATGTGTTTTTCTAATTTATTCATGGTACGTTACATGCAAGGTGTTGTAAAGATAAATAGTTTTAAAAAAGAAAATAATATTTTTTTCAGATTGACCATTATTTTACCATCATCGACATTAAAAACTCAGAAGACGTGTGTAGGTATACTGACTGTTTAAAATGATGACAGCAGATATAATGGCCATATTTGTGCTGCAGACATTGTGATCCCTGGTTCCCATCACCACCACTGTAAATAAGTCCAACATGATAAGTTTCTCTACAATGAATAATTTAACATCAAATCATCCTGCATGACTTTGTTGACACTCAATGATTGAATCGTGCATGTTGAAAAATTGGTGGAATTCCCCTTAATGCAACTGCCGACACACAATCTGAGGCCTTTAATCTTTTTAATCTACGCAGCAATGCACAATTTAAAGGGCCCATATGCTACATGCTTGTTTTATTACACTTTTCATCCCATCCTGAGGTCCAGTTATGAGGCTTGTCAAGGTCTACATACCAGAACAGTCATAATCCCTTTTTGCATGACCACTTTCCATCCTCTCTTTTTCTCCTTAGCAATACAAAGGCAGTTTTTCTTATAGTGCATTCAAGACTGATATATATATAAATGATCTCTTTTCTGATTGGCTGCCTGTATGATGCTTCACTCAAAAAAATGCCTAGTCTGAAAGAGGCATTATAACTTCAGTGTGAATAGAAGGAGCTAAACTGCAGCAGGCAGATATTTGTAAATGTGTCGTCTTTTGAAATAAATATCACAATTCAAAACTGGCTGTTTTCACAGCTTAATTCAGGACTGGGGAGTAAACAGTGCATTTAACTTTAACAGTGTTTACACACTACATCAAACTTTTACAAAATGAAAAAAAGGAAAACTTGTTTTTCCATGATATGGGCCCTTCAAGTCTTCCACAGTAAGAATCGCAGCACAATATGACAGTATGACATCCTGTTGTCTTTCTTAGCCTTTTAAGTGAGTTGTAAAAATTGTTTTAATTGAACCATGAGCAGCGGCAGATGACAGGATACTGACAGCAAACATATAAAAAGAGCAGCTATAATGATAAAATGTACTTACAGGCAAGAAGAACTTGTTGTCTGAGACTTGAGTGGTTTGACCATGAACACTGTACGCGCTCTCATTGGAGATGTTCGGTGCAGCTACTGTAATCAGCTTCTCATCCTCTAGAAAGAACTAGACACCAAAAGTGACAAAACATGTTAACACATGTCCAAAAGTATCTGGACACCTCTTCGAAGTAGTGAATTCAGCTACTTTAAGGTGCAGCGATTGCTGACACAGCTTGTATAATCTCCACAGAAAAGCATTGACCAATAGAATGGGACTCTCTGGAGCAGCCGCACATGAGCCTAAGGTCACCAAGCCCAATGCCAAGTGCTGGTTAGAAGGATATAAAGCCCCCAGCATCGGGCTGTGGAGCAGTGGAACTGTGTTCTCTGGAGTTATGGAGCTCCATCCAATACCTTTGGGATGAGAAGGAGTTCCAGACCTGATCATCCAACATCAGTACCTGACCTCACTAATGCTCTTGTGGCTGAAATGCTTGCAGCAATGTTTTAACATGTAGACTAAAGCTTTAGTAGAGTAGAGGCTGTTACTGCAGCAAAGGAGGTAAAACTCTCTAATAATACCCTTCATTCCTGAAGACACATTGGATGAGCAGGGGTTTACAAACTTTTGGACATTTAGAGAATTTCATGAGGTGCTGTATATACACTAAACATTCATAGTGATTCCTGCTCTTTGTCCTAAAAGCATTAATTTAGCAACAAATTAAATTTGCCCTTACCCTAAAAGTGGTCAGTGAGCCAAGGCATGTTTGGTGTCGGAAGTTTGCTTCTTTAGTATTGCACTGGAGCTACGAGGCTGATGTAGTTATGAAGTAAGGAAAACTTACAGCCACTCTTTCACCTAAGTGTTTGCAATAATGAAAGACAAATATGAAACCCAAACAGAGAGGCTGCATGAATGAATACACACTGAGATGCAGCTGTGTGCAGCAGCGCTCAGCTAGCCTAGCAGTAAGCCTTACTGCCTTTCACTTCTTTCAAAATTATGCAGTTGCTGTCTACCTGCGCTATAAAAGCGTCCGTGTTTGGAGCACTGCTTTGTGAGAAAAGTTCTGCCACTGGAACAGAACATTCAGTTACATCAGAACTGCTCACTATTGCCTTCATGCAGCCTGTAAAGTACACACATCGCTATGCTCATAATGGTGCTGTGAAACAGCTGTTGGAATTTAATCCAATTAAAATTTTTTTATTTTTAAATATTCACAATAAAACTCAAAGCTACACAAAACTGTTTTTGTTTTATTTAGTTATAATCACCAGTGATAGGTTTGAAAGCAGTTTTTTCTGGGCACATTTTTAGAACTGTGCAGTAATACTGTCTATTGTTATTATATTGATCATTATATCAGCTGTTTAGCTGGGGAGTTTGAGTCTTCATGTCAGGAACATCAGGAATCTATTTAATTGATGCTCCTGCATTGTGTCCCCTGCCTTTAGATAGCCTTTACAGTAATTCAACAGTTTCATTGGTTCCTCTTTCTGTATTTTACCATAATAATGTAATAAGAGCAACAGCCATTAAAATAAACACAAATGACTGTGAAATAAAGGTGATAGGTTTTGTGAAATGTATTTTGCATGTAAAAAAATTAGAGTACTTATTGATATTGAAAATCCTTTTTTTACAGTGTATGTAGGCTTTGGCCACCTGACGATGGTCCCTTGACTACCAATTAGCACGGTGCAAACTGCATGCCTTAATCATCACATATTTGCCCGAAACAGTTTTGAGTTATTAAGCAATTTCTAAAAGACTAACTGCTATGATTCTGATGAAATGTGAAACGGACAAAAGTATATTACATAACTAAAAACAGTAGTAGCAGCCATCTTATGACAGCCTGAATCAGAAACCACATGACCAAATTGAGGTTACATTATGTCTCGGCTCATCAAATACTTTTGGGGACAAGGGGAGATTTATTTTAGAACCATTGCTTTTAGTTGTAGTTGTATATATCAGGCTGAGTTGAACTTAAAAAACTCCCTGTCTCTCACACAAACACCTCTAAGAATAAGATGATGCAAACAAATCACAACAGGCCTGCATATATGCATTAACACAGACATACACACACACCTGAGATTTGATTAGGGGTCAGAGCTCTGACCCAGAGAAGCAAGCAAACAAGAGCGCTTAATGTGTGAAATCGATTTGTGTCCAAATGCTAAACCTTTAGCTTCGTCCTCAGGACTGCGCCGGAGGGCTGGAGGTGATGCAACTCGATCGGTTAATCACATGCGTCTCTTTTCGTCTGCAGACTAAGGCACCTGAGATCAGATTCTGTCTCAGTGGAGCCACGAGCAGAGAAAACCAGAATATATGATGTTCCCAGACTTTCCACTGCCTCTTTCTTAGCATCTGTTTGCTTGTGTGTTGTACAGTCACTGATATGGTGCACTGATCACCCGCTACAGACCAGAGCTCAGTACAGTCTCTACAGATTAGAAAAGATGCAGCCCTCACATTCACCCAGCATGTCCTCAGAATCTTCTGTGTTGAGCAACATAACAGAATAAGCCAGTTTATTGAACTAGTTTTAAGCGTTTCTTAACCTTGACTGAATCATGAGTGAAGAGGAAATAAGTTTTCTTTTTTAGAGGTTTCAGAATTTCATCCTCACACTGTGTACAGACAGCACCTTAACCTTGGTAAAAGCGTCATTAAAAAAAACTCTGTGGTTAATTAGCTCAGTCTCAGACTGACAATATGAGAGAAATCTAACCCCTGAGTGAGATAAATTTAGCCTGAGAAAACTGCGAGAACCTTAGGATGCATAGTACAGTGCCAAAAGTTTAAACTGGGTCATGGTTGGATCTTCCAGCAGAACAATGATCCAAAACATCACAACAAATCCACAGAAAAATTGGTTTCATTGTTTACTGAATAAAAGAATCAAGTTTTTGACTGGGTGGTCCGAGTCTCCTGACCTAAACTCCATCAAGAGAACCTATAGGGTGAACTAAGAGGGGAGTCCAAAAGAGAGAATTTAGGACCCTGGGGGATCTGAAGATTTTCTCTCAGATTTTCAGTGTTAGACTGAGCTATTTACCCACAAAAACACTTTTTAATTTAATTTTCATTATTCTTACCCAGACTTACCAAAGGCATAAATAACTAGAACAAACTTAAAGTTGGTGTAAAAAAGCCATGGCTATGAAATTGTAGGTGGTTGCTAAGATGTTGCTAGGCCATTGTCATGGTATCCCAAGTGGTTGCTTAGATGTTACTAGGCTATTGGTATGGTATTCTGGTATCCCTAGTGGTTGCTAAGGTATTGCTAGGCCATTGCTATGGGATCCCAAGTGGTTGCAAGGTGTTGCTAGGTAATTGCTACAGTATTATGATATCTTAGGTGGTTGCTAAGATGTTGCCAAGCCATTTTTATGGTATCCCAAGTGGTTGCTTAGATGTTACTAGGCTATTGCTATGGTATTCTGGTATCCCTAGTGGTTGCTAAGGTATTGCTAGGCCATTGCTATGGGATCCCAAGTGGTTGCAAGGTGTTGCTAGGTAATTGCTACAGTATTATGATATCTTAGGTGGTTGCTAAGATGTTGCCAAGCCATTTTTATGGTATCCCAAGTGGTTGCTTAGATGTTACTAGGCTATTACTATGGTATTATGGTATCCCTAGTGGTTGCTAAGGTTTTGCTAGGCCATTGCTATGGAATCCCTGGTGGTTGCTAAGGTGTTGTGAGGCAATTGCTACAGTATTATGATGTCTCAGGTAATGGCTAAGATGTTACTAGGCTATTGCTATGGTATTATGGTATCATTAGTGGTTGCTAAGGTGTTTCTAAGCCATTGCTATGTAATCCCTGGTGGTTGCTAAGGTGTTGCTAGGCAGTTGCACAGTATTATGACCTCCCAGGTGGTTGCTAAGATGTTGCCAGACCATTGTTATGGCATTGCAAGTGGTTGCTAAGATGTTACTAGGCTACTGCTATGGTATTATTGTATCCCAAGCGGTTGCTAAGGTGTTGCTAGGCCATTGCTATGGAATCCCTGGTGGTTGCTATGGTGTTGTGAAGCAATTGTTATAGTATTATGATGTCTCAGGTGGTTGCTAAGATGTTGCCAGGTCATTATTATGGTATCCCAAGTGGTTGCTAAGATGTTACTAGAATATTGCTATGGTATTATGGTATTCTTGGTGTTTGCTAAGGTGTTGCTAAGCCATCGCTATGTAATCCCTGGTGGTTGCTAAAGTGTTGCTAGGAAATTGCTACAGTATTATGACATCCATGTTGGTTGCTAAGATGTTGCCAGACCATTGTTATGGTATCCCTAGTGGTTGCTAAGGTGTTGCTATTGCTATGGAATCCCTGGTGATTGCTAAGATGTTTCCAGGCCATTATTGTGGTAGCGCAAGTGGTTGCTAAGATGTTACTAGGCTACTGCTATGGTATTATAGTATCTCAGGTGGTTGCTAAGGTGTTGCTAGGCCATTGCTATGGAATCCCTGGTGGTTGCTAAAATGTTACTAGGCAATTGCTGCAGTATTATGATGTCTCAGGCGGTTGCTAAGATGTTGCCAGGCCATTGCTATGGAATCCCAGTTGGTTGCTAAAGTGTTGCTAGGCTGTTTCTGGGTTGTCCCAGGTGGTTTTCTAGCGTGTTGCTAGGTCAACGCTATGGCATCCCAGGTGGTTGCTAAGATTCTTTGTCAAGACAAATTCATTAAAGCTGACTGTAGAGAAGACGCAGCTACAAAACTTACATCCAGCGCTTTATCAGAACCCTTGCTTGCTGAGCAACATTACTAAATCCCTCGGTTTGTTGAACTTGCTTTAAGCAGCCCTTGTCCTTGTGAGAATCATATAAATAAACGCTGAGCTTGAGGACTCAACATCTTTCCTATTTTATGTGAAGAGCTGACATATAATGGAGTGTGAACTTATAAAATATATGATCCATAAATCTATTTCACAGAATGTGACTCAAAATGGATTAATAAATAGATCTTTATGGAGCCTTTCTCTATCTGAGCAGTTCCTCTGAGGATACTCAGAGACTCTCCCTCTGTCACAGACTGAGAGACAAAGTCTACTTGTATTGTAGCTGATGCTAAAATGCATAAGACTTTAGGTGCTGGTTGTTTCACCAGTGCTGGTTCCCTGCTCTCATCCCAGACATCAGGCCATCCAGACACCTCAGGCCATTTCAGAACCGTGTAGTGGATGGCCTGTTCTGTGTGTAGGTAATTGCCTCCAGTTAGAGTTTGACCACAAAGGTCACTGAAATCATTAGGCTTTAAACTGACGGCATAGAAAAGGGAGTGGAGGTTCGCTATTAATGTACCGACGTGCTGATGTTCAGCTCCATTAGGTTACATAATGCTGACCTGCTTGTTAAGCTGATTGTGATAATGTGATAAATAGGGATGTCAAAATGGATCAGTGCATCATGATGCGTCAGTCTGAGGGTGGTGAACCAACTGCATTGATTTTGGAATTTTAAAAGCTAGTTTAATAATCCATAAAGTATGAACTCATTTTTTTTTCACAGAAATACAATTCTCAGGCAAGCAACACCTTAGCGACAACCTGGTATCCATAGCAATGGCTTTGCTGAGCCTACTTTCAGTTTGTTCACTAACTTTCTCCTTCTGGTTATGGATGCCCTTGGTAAAAAAATCGTAAAAATGATAGTAATGACAGTAGCAGCGTTTATGTCTGTGAAATAAAGGTGATAGTTTTGTAAAATTACATTCCATTTCTGTAAATTACTGTTTTATTATTAGCATTATTTTTACATTGAAAACATTGACATTTATTCTTGTCAATGTAAAGACAATATTAAAAAGCTTGGTTTATTATCTTCATTGTCTATACCAGAGATCAATCAAACCACCTTGGGAGCCACAATATTTTATGTCTGTTTTACTATCTTGGCTGTATATGTGTCTCAGTATGTGCTAATATAGTTACTCGTAAAGGCTAAAAATATATAACCGAAACGCAGACTTGCTTTGCTCTGCTTTAAGCTTTAGCTCAGCTATAGCGGCGTTTCTCGCATCTCCGGCAGGAAACATTTCCACAAAAGTAGAATAGTTTCTTGTACAATGTCTCTCAGTGTTTGACTTTTTATGAGACTGAAGTTGCTTCTCATTCGCCAGCGTCTTGTTCGAATTTTCCCGCTCCACCTTAAATGGTGCCTGAGGTGCCAGAATGTAAGTGCTGAACCATTTAAGGTGGAACAGGAAAATTCAAACAAGAAGCTGGCGAATGAGAAGCGACTTCAGATCCGTGACTTTTTAGTGTTTGATAGTTTCTCACTGCAGATTAAACATATCTGGGAACCAGCTGGAGTGATTATAAATGCAAATTACCACTAGCTAGACAAGACTGTTGTCTGCGTTGCTATGGTGACCAGCAGTCTGCATGCCAACCTTCAGGGTTAAAGGGTGAATTAGCAGTTCTACATTAACTCCAGCGTTTAAGACCATTTATTACTAAAACTGTGTTGAACGATCAGCAGAGCTTTATTTTTCTGTAAAGGAGGATTATTTTATTTTTACCTAAAAATCTAAATCTGCTGTGGAGCCACAACATGGCAGTAAAAGAGCCACATGCAGCTCCAGAGCCCACGTCGTCGACCCCTGGTCTATACTTTGTGTGCAGATAGGTCCTCCAGCCACAGTTGTGAATTAGGTGTATTTTCAGAAATAATTTTCAATTATATCAAAATAACTGTAGTATATTGTAAGATTTTATGGTGTCACTTCTTGAAGGGCACGTATCCTACATTTTTGGTTTTTAAGATATTTGTGAGGTTTTATGTACCAAATATGTCCATAATTCATTTTTATTCAAGTATTTTTCAACCACTTTTTAACCTGTAAAAGTAAACAGGTTATTTTTGTTACTGTTTTGTTAAGACAGGTGTATGTAAATGTAAAATCTATAAGCCATCGGTTACACAAAAAGAAAAGATGCCTGGTGTCTAGATCAAGCAAATAGGCAGTGTTAAAAAAAACATCTAAAACAATTTATTTTATTTAGAATTATTTTTAAATAAGTGTTTAATGCCTATTTTGCTGCTGCAGTTTTGGCACATTTTGAATAAACAAATGGCAAAATGTTAAGTAAAAATGAAATAAAAACATAACTTGCCCACAGATTTGGCCCTTTTAGAGGTTGAGTTCGACACCCCTGGTTTACATACTACATTCAAGCTTTTTTCATTAAAAAGTGAGAACAATGTTGCTCTCCATGGTTTGAGCTTTTAAGCAAAAAAACGTAATCAATTCAAATTGTTGTAAAGTCTGAGATTTACACTCATAATGATAAAGTTCCCTACTTGATTTTGGGGCCAGATGAACAGCAGGTCTGAGTCCATTCCTCCGGGCATTAGTATTCCTCCAGGGTTTCCTGAACAGCTGACTCATAAAACCACTTCTGTCCCCCCCAAAAAAACGTGTGATACCAGCGCAAGTGCGAATAAATGGAGTCTGATGGAGAGCAGAGTGGCGGAGCTGACTGTAAGGGGCACGGCGGATGTGAAGCCCTTTGGCAGTCACGATACTCACCATGTTGAACACGGCCATGACCAGGATGAGAGCGGTGGTTGCCATGGTGAGCACGAGCCGTATCCAGGGCTTGTTGGCATCGAGTGTGGAGGAGTTCGGGAGCCAGGGCAGAGAGCAGGAGGCCACGGTGCCCCATCGCTACGGCAACAAGAGAGAGTGGTGAAAATGAGCTTTAACTCCCACTAATGTCATTAGCATATCGGCTCCTCTGCTGAGCGCCCAGGGTCACGCTTCTGATGAATAAGAAGCGCGTCAAACACACAAGTACGAACGTCTGAGGCAACACTGTAAAAAAGCAGACAAATTGAATTCTCCTCACATAAGAATCCTTAAGTAAATCAAGTACAGTCAAGGCAGGACATGTGATATGATATGATATGTGATCCACAGCGGCTTTATAAACAGATTTGGACCTGTAGACAAGGGATCAAGGGAGAATTCCACCAGTGTTTTCAAAATCTATGCATAAATAGGTATTTGCAATGTAGACAAAGTCATTCAGAGTGGTTTGATGTGATACTCTAGTTTAGAGAAACCGATTCCAGAGCCGTTCACTTGTGTTGATAGGAACCAGACGTCTCACTGCAAAAAAATCAACCTTAACAAGGCCAAAAATCTTGCAAATGACCAACAAATCGTGTTTTTTATCTGAAGATTAATAGACTAGATTAGACTCGTATGTATGAGATTAATCAGCTCGGTTTTAGAAACGATTTTGAGAGGTAGGCCTGTCACAATCGTTACATTTTAACTAATGATTAATTTTCATATTAATAATTCTGATTAACAGTTTGTTTTTTCTTGTTCACTCTTTGCGGATATTAACAAACAGGTCTAAAGTGGCCAATTTGGCTGATTAGCCAACTTTTAGCTATGTTTACTTTGTAGCTAAACACTGGTTGTACTGTTGAATCAATGCTGCGTGCACACTGCACACACCCACACTCACACCAGCATTTAGTTACACAGACTGATATATATGGTTCACAAAAGTGAAAATAAAGGGAAGAAGATTCTGCCAGCAAACATCCTAAAAATGCAAGAATTAGTGGTGACACTTTATTTTGAGTGGTCCTTTTAGATGAAACAAACACTCAACAGACTCTCAGTAACTGGTCAAGAACATGTGAGGGGTAGGATTAGGTTCTGGGTTGAGGTTAAGGTTAGGGTTAGGACTAGAGCCAGGGTTAGGATTAGGTTTTGGGTTGAGGTTAAGGTTAGGGTTAGGATTAGGGTCAGGGTTAGGGTTAGGTTTTGGGTAATGGAAGTAACATATTAACAACACACCTACTTAACGTAAGTAATGTATCAACAGAACATCTACAAGATATTTACTTCAGTGTATTCAGATACTTCACTAGGGCTACTTCACTGATATGTTGTTGATGTGTTACTGATAATCTGTTAAGAGTTTATTAATCATCTACAAAGGACCACTCTAAATAGCTGAATTAGCCACATAGCTAACAAACATTACTTAGCTCTGTCCTCTGAATGTTGGAGCAGCAAGTTAAAAGTTAGATTTTTTTTGTTTTCATAAGCCTCATGATGTTTCAAGCAATGCATTTACTGCTTTCTTTTATTTGCCTCATTTTGTTTGCTGCAGCATGATATGACTACAAAATCTAACGACTGTGGAAAACGACAGCAGTCAGTTTAAATCATTACAATCGCCTCAAATAACTGCAATCATCTCAAATGATTGTGATATATTATGTAATAATTGTGATAGGCCAATTAAGAGAAGTTTTAAAGCTCTCCACTATGAAAGAAGACATTTCAAGACAACTTTACTTCATTAAGAACTTTATAGTCTTTAAACTTTAGACTAGCTTTATAGTCTTAAAACTATTCCAGCCTTTCTAGAATAAGTAAAGTTTAAGTCAAGACATCATTGTTAGCAGCGTCACCACGTGAGCTGCTACTGTGTTCATCACTTTGGCTTTTTTAGCATTTCATGCCTCACTTTGAGAAGCATTTTCATAAACGTATAGTATTTTGATCATAACAGTGTTGACTTTAGACGCTTTAGTCTCCTGATGATAGGGCCAACACCTACGCCACTCGAGAGCCCCCCAAATAAAATTTTAAGAAAATGCTTAAATCAAGCTTCGCATGTTAGCTTTTTGTGCTAATTTTAGATCATTATTATAACATTAGATCAAATTAATGTTACTAAAATCTGACCACAATGCTTTAGACTAATGGAATATTTACTGATTATGAGATTAAGATCATTTGCTGTATAAAACCCTTATTTTTATAATTTTAATCTTAAGTAAACATTTCATATCATACTGACATATAATTTAGCTTGATTCAAGCACCTTTTTTCTAGATTTGTTTTCTTTTTTTTTTTTCTTAGCAAAGACTTTGTGCAGCGCTTAAACATTTCATTTCTTTAAAAGCCACCTAACAGGGGGATGGGGTGGTTGGGCACCCTGGCTCTCCCTTTCTTCTGTACAGCAAGGCAATATTACCTAGTTATTATTGACATAGATTACTACAGTAGACTATTGTATTTTTGATACAAAGATGCTGAATGTGTGTATGTGTTTGTGCGTGTATATGTGTATGCAAGTAATACAGATTTTTTTAGCTTTATTTGTTCGGTAAACTGCCTGTTGTCATGAAATTTTTATGCTCGGTTTGTCTTGCTTCTCACTTTTATTGTTTGCCTTATGCACTGTCTGTCTGTCTGTCAGGACTTTTGACTGGCTTGTCTTGCTTTATGTCTTATTTGTTTGTCTCATGTATTATATATCTGTTGTCATAAAATAAAATAAATAAAAAAATAAATTACTATAAATATACAGATTACAAAACTTCTCCTAACAGGAACCTGTTACACAAATACATTGCCTGATGTCTGAGATATTGTTTTGTGATAGTTGTATAGATACATTTCGTGGTGGAGAAGTTCATGCAAAGCTTTGTAAGGCAAATTAGTCCCCAAAAGGATTTCAGATATACTATTTTCCAGTTCTGAACATTACATATAAAAAGACATGTGTGGGTTCACTGGTTATTTTAGAGAGTAAATACATTTGCTTTGGCGACTCCTGGTTCCTATCACCAGCACTGTAAGGAAATCTGAATCAGTTAGTTTCTCTACAATGAACCATTTCGCATCAAAACACTCTGAGTCACTTTATTTACATCTCATTTACTGAATTATGCAGAACTTTAGACAAATTCAGTGGAATTCCCCTTTACCTTCAGTTTTTATAATGTCTGTGTAAGTTCTCTACTCTGGGACATGCACTGACCTTCCAAACCTTTTTTTTTTGGTTTTCTTTTTAGTGCATTTGTGTCTGTGGATGGTGTTGTGTAACGTTTGACAGGGCATTGCTGAACTGTGCTGCGACCATCTGTTCATTTCTGAAGCACTCGATCCTCAATGAGTGCATAACAGCTCTCTTCTGAGCTCCGGCTTCAGGGCCGCCAAAGACGTGAAGAGCAGCGAGAAAGAAACAGCACCCCTGCTCACCTGGGAAACAGGCAGTGTCAGATGTGCTCAGGCACACACTTAAGACGCACAATGAGCTCTTTTCAGCACCGAACAAAACGCCTCTCAGAGATTTGCTCCATCCAGTTTCGCTTCTCAGCAGCGGCAAGTTTAGGAAAATGGATCCACTCACATCCGAGGAGCTAAAAGGAGTCAGAGCGCTGCCTGCTGCAATGCAGCACAAAACTCTTGATATTTCTGGATGGAGCCAAGTGGAGACTCCATTCACAAACCCAGGCAGCACACAGAGCTTTTGGAGCCCAAAAGAAGCTGTTTGTTTCTTCCTACCGGTCCCCACAATATAACATAACTCAGATTAAGGGAAAGGAACATACGCCCTGCTGGAGAATAATACATCAGAAATAACCCAGTAAACAAGCAAGTAGATCATTTAAGCTGCTGCTGCGGGTTTTCTGTGTTTTTTTACAGGGTTTTAAGGTTAGCGTTCAGCTCAAGGTCGACTTTGGCAGTCTCATAAATTCAAAGCGGGCTGGATTTAGAAGCTTGGAAACTAGACTCATTATATACTGACGCACAGACTGAGAACCAGGTGCAAACTGAGGACAAAGGATGAGTTGACAGCAGGACGGTTCATTACAGTACATATTGTCACTGCTGGGATCAAAGCAGTGTGGTAACTTTACAGGAGCAGACAAATCATGTAAATCACTGTACACTCTCGCCAGTTTCACCATGCAGTCTCTGAATGATTCTGATTTTACAGTCTCATGATGGCCTCCTTTACTGCCACTCAAACTTCATTGCAACAATTAAACCAAATTATGTTTTTCATAAACACTACTACCCATTTTCACTAAGTTTGATATAAATATATTATCCATTTTGCCCATTTTTGCTTTTAGTTTTTTTTGTATTTGCTGACTCTTTTTTGTTTTTTGGATTTTTTGATCTAATTATACACTGTTCAATAAAGCATGTCTATTTACAAAAATCGCTCACTTGCACTGTAGAAAAAGGCTCGTCAGATCAACCTAAAAAAATTAATACAAATAATTTAACTGTTTTTTTCAACATAAATTAATACTTTGAACGAACGATCAGTGTAAATTTTTAAGTTGAATAAAACTAGCTCAGTTGCTTGTTACCACATGAAGTACCTTTTTTAGGGTTGATCTGACGAGACATTTTTCACAGCGTACGCTGGTTGGCTGAAATGGAGGATGATGTATATAAAGGACGCTAATCCCTGTGTGGTTAATATGTCATTGTCGTGTGAGGTAATTGTCATGACAGACGCCAGAATGTAGCGTCATGACAGTTTATGTCATGTACTAATTTGATTCACTGTGTTCTCTACTTAGTCGTCATGACATCAAACATTATGACACATTTCCTGACAATTGCCACTAATGGTAACATGACACTGTAATATTACTGAAGAAATCTGTCATTATAACTCACGACATGTCATTGCTACAGGAACAAACCTCTGTATCTCAATTTGTGTATTTTTTTGTGTTATTTATTTATTTTTTTTTACATAATTTGATCACACCAACATCCCTTCACATTGTGTTAAAATTCCATGATGAACAGACCAATAGAAATTCTCCAAAATGACTTAGAATAAAATCTGTTTACATTAACTTACACTGGAAGTTTAAAGCATGTTTTCCTTCTCCTGTAAAGTTACCATTATGGCGATACGACCATGACATGCTTATGGCATGTTCATGTCAATGTTATGAAGCAGAGTTACCAAAATCAGTAGCCGTCCCATGTGACCAAAAGACTAGATTAAGTAGGACAAATGAGCTGACAAAAACTCACTTTCTATCAATGTGGTTTGATCAATAAATAAAATTTCTTCAGAAATTGCGCTCAGAGCTGAGATCATATGGACCAAAGATAATTTAACATTTTACTGTTAACTGTATGTCACTGTCCAGTTCGTCACAGTCTTCACTGTATTTATAGATGGATGGAGCCCAGTTTTGTCTGAACAACTCTGTTGCTACTATTACAGGCCATGATTGCAAAGGGAGAGATTGAGAGACTAAAAAAGACCATTAGAGAAAGAGATGACCTTTTCAGAGAGAATCAGACATTTCATTTTCACTGAAAAATCTGAGAGGGTTGTGATGTTGTGAAGATGTGAGACTCATGATGTTCTATTACTACAGAAAACCAAGGAAAATTCACTCACTGACTCAATTCTGTTTTTCTCATGGTACAGTTTTCTCTAACAAGTGGTTTCAAACCTGTAACTTAAAGCTTATTAATAGAGGATCTGATTCATGGAGTAAGGTTTCAATTAAAAAGCACTCAGACGAATGATCTTCTCTAAACAAGGAAACACGGAAACATGCACTGTCTAACGATGAAACTGAGCTGATTTCCTCAAAATAAAAACAAAAAAAGAACAAAATGAACAAAAGTATAAACTTGCATAAGTTAAAATTATTATTTTAAATATTATGTCATTCCTACAAAAAACACAAGATTAAAAAAAAAACAAATTAAAGGTAACAAGATTCAAAGTTAACAAAAAATGATGGTGTTGTGGCATCTTTTTCTTTTTATGCCCCCCCTAAATAATCGGAACTGAGATTAGACAGCCAACATCACTACAACATCTTAAGAAGCAACTAAAATAGTTTTACAAAGTATGTTCTTCATAAATTCCCTGTTTTACTTGCTTTGTACTGTTAGTATTTTTGCTGTTACTTCTGTATAATTTCTATTATAACTGTTGTTACTGTTTTTTTTATGGTCCCACTTTATTTGGATACCCCCCAACTGATGACCTACAGATGTTCACATTATTAAGGAACTACCTGGTGGAACTCTGATTTGTGACGGTCTTGGTGTTCAAGTTAGGAATAGTAGCAGGATTAGGTTGAGGTTTTAGTGTTGAGGTTGAAGTTAAGGCTTGCAAAGATTAAGATATTTAGTTGAATGTAAGTTAAATGCAAGATGAGCACCTACAAAGCATTTACAGTGGACTATCCAAATAAAGTGTTACCTTCATTATTACTGTTATTTTTAGCACCTTTTTACCTCTAAAGATTCTCCACTATTTGACTGGTTTGTGTTTCTTGTTTTTACGTTATTTTTGAATATTCTTGCTGATTTTATGTTATTGTGTGATTTTATATTTGTGGTCATTTTTATTGTCTCTTTTTCATCTTTTAATCCTCTGTAAAGCACTTTGAGCTTTGTTATACAAAAAAATATGCAAAAGTTTGGGCACCCCTGGTCAAAGTAAATGTTTTATTGATTTTCTAAGTGAGTAAGTAAGTCAACACATCCTCTACAGAGAACACACTTCTACACTTTTTAATTCACAATTACTTTTTATTTACTGAATTTAACACATTGGAAAAAAAAAAAACATAAAATAAAAAGTGGCCTGTGCAAAAGTTATGGCACATTTTATATTTTATGCTTTATTTTTTTTACAATATGTTAAACTCAAAGCAAATAGAAATTATGCACTAAAATTGGCAGACATACCATATTTGAATGGGTTCTTTGTAGAGGATGTGTTAACTTATTTTCACCTATAAAATCCACAGAAAAGGTCATTAGACTGGGCTGTTCAAACTTTTGCATACGAAAGGTGCTACACACCTTTTTCCTTTCTTCTTATTCTTCTCATTATTATTATATCACTTCATCAAGCGTGTCAGTACCTAACACATGCACTGTGCGGTCTCAGTGAAGGTGGCTGACTGGGGGGCAAAAGGGAATTTTTAATGGACATGTAGACCATCACTAATTGTAGGAAAGCTCTATGGCCTGATTCTTGTTTCTCTTCTCATTTTCTGTTTTTCTCCTCAATTCTTACTCAAAATGAGTCCATTTTACTACACTAGGCAAAGAAGATGATCTACTCTTAGTTTATGATCGTGCGTGAAAGAAAATGACGCATGTACTTGCCAGTAAATCAACCTTTTTAAAGAAAACAAACATGGTTAATCTGTCTAATGTAAGTGCTTTACTTACCAGAATATGGCCAGCAAAACAAATGATAAGAATAAGAGAGAGCAACAGGAAGGCCAATCCGAACGACACCCCGAGGACAGCAGTTCTGCGTGAAACAAAAGCTCCGCTCATTAAAGGGCAAATGTAACAGAGGGACACTTGCTTTTACTCATTAAGATACAGAAAATGCACATCACACAAACACAATCACGCCGCGCTCTCTATTCATACTGCTGTTTAAAAATAATGGAGCCACTAGGCGATGGACGAGTCCATCAGTAATAAGCAGTTAGGCTGCATTTTGTTCTAAAACAGTTTCCTTTATTGCTGTTGTGCCCATTTTGAACAATTCCTACTGGAAATTGGACAAATAGACCCACTATTATGTTGAACATGCTGACTCATTATTATAAGGTACAGATGAAGGCTTTCTTTCTTTCTTTAAAGAAAAACCCACTGACAAAAGGTGTAGGAGATAACTCATCAGGATCACATTATTATTATTAATATGTTTTTTTTTTACCAATGCTGAAAGGAGTTTCTGTACTCACTGCTCCATATTTGTTTTCTACGGCTCTCGATCAGATGTGCTTGCTGAATGTGAGGTAAAGTTTAAAAAGTATGTATATTTATTTGTATTTTTTGGTAAACAACTTTTTATTTGGCATTGGAATCAACACTAGACACTGGTTATGTATATATTGTGCAATAAGAGTATGTTTAGCAGAGTTAAATAAGCAAACAAACAAAAAACAAACAAATAAATAATGCAATTAAATAAATAAGTGTGTTTTGTGTATCATAAATATTACCATTGTGAACAATTTTGTTGGTGGACAATTTTGGGTCAAGAAGGTGGCAGGTGTTGTCTTTTTTTTTTATTTTAACTATGTGACCTTAATACTTAATAAGTTGAACTGGCTGAAGTAAAACAACAAAAAAGATTTTTCCACTTTAAAAGCAGTGCATTTTATTGTGAGTGGACAAATTATGCTTAATTAGAATGTATTTATTACTTTCAATTGTTTATTAGCATTATTTTTCATTGTATCAACTTAGGTTTCACATGAATCTGAACATGACAATCACATAATTTCCACAGAGTAGACAAAATTTCCAATTTTCCAAATTCACTGACATCCAGTGAGAACAACAGTGGCTGCATGTTCCCACCAATGATTGCACCGATTATGTGTATATATAGTGTATATAATACATAGTCAGGTTCAGCTCCACTGTAATTGGAGCCCCTTACTCTCGTTCATACAGCTTGTGGATTCTGGTTACAGTGTTACTTGGAGGCTCTGTTGTTGCTTTTGTTAGTTTGCTGCTCATTGATTTATCTATAGTTCTCCTGCTTTGACTTGCCAATTGAAAGTTGTATTTGAGTCAGAGGGCTACAATCACAGAGTCATTGCAACATACAGCGCACTGCAGCTGGGCCTCTACAGATGGTGTGAGGAGTCAGACTATTTATGAATAATGCCACTAATAATTATCGGCCAATATTCGATATTATCTGGCAATATTAAATATTATCTGAATTTTTAGGCCCTTAACACTGGTATCAAATTTTCATAACAGTTGGGTCCTATTTGTGAATGTAACTTACTTGTGCCTTCAACTAAGGACAGTATTGACTTTTAATCACTGTTTCTTACTTCTAGTGATTTATTTGCTGTTTAGTACAGTTGTATGCAAAAGTGTTTGTTTTTTTTTATATTTTCTAAGTGAAAATAAAGTAACACATTCTCAACAGAGGATGTACTTCTGCACATTTTAATGCACGATTACTGTTTATTTGCTGAATTCAACATACTGGGAACATAAAATGTGGTCTGTGCAAAGTTCTAACATATTTAATATTTTATGTCTTATTTTTTTCCAATATATTAAACCCAACAAATAAATAGGAAATGTTCTCTGTGGAGGACAGTTTTGCTTAGAAATTCAACATTTGAACATCTGTTTTCATACGTTTCATAAGTTTTTTGCATACGACTCTACATGCTCTCACTATTATACAGCTTTATTGTTAACGTCATTGCTAATATAGAGTTGGCCACCAGGTGGGCTTTGCATATAAAACGTTAATGCTGTTATAAAAGTTAGTGCTGGTCCTTCATGGCAGCTTATTTAATGGTGTTATAAAGTTGATATAAAGACGGAGCCAGGAAGTGAGGACACATTACAGGGAAAAATCGATGGACGCTTTCGGGTCTCTGAAAGTGCTTGTGGCCGACGCGCACAGTAAATTAGACCGACGACTCGCATGGATTTTTCTGTCTGACTTCCTACTTAAAGAGGCATAATTTCTAAAGCGGCTCGGTCTCTGATTCACAAAATCCATATCCATCTGCGCGGAGCTGCCCGTCTCTACCACACATTGATCTTCTCCTTATCGGTTTGTGTCTCCATCTTTCTTCCCGTTCTTACTGTCACTCAGGTCCTGTAACCTAGTATAACTGTTGTGGGGCCAAATAGTTGCTCACAATTAGGACATGATCGTTAGATAAGATGGGTTGAAATTTATGGAGAGTACTTACTTTGGCAAGACTAAGACTTGCACTATGAAAATACAGAAGAAGATGAGGCAGGCACAGGTGACGTAGTACTTGAAGGCAGGCAAAGTTGTTGCTCTATACTGTATGTGTAGAAAAAGACAAAAAACATTTTGAGGAGAGAAGTGAAAAGGCTTTAGGCTCTAAATCTGCCTCCACACACGAATTAGTTAGGCTAAAATTTGAATATTGAGAATCAGGTTGTGCTGTGAGAACGTACCTCTTTCTCCAGAGTCTTATTGTGAAAGAACAGAGATATCCTCTGTATGTCTTCAGACTTCAGCCACTGTCTGACAAGAGAAGGGACAAGAACAGAGAGAGCAGTCATATCTGAATAACACGATGATTGGCAATTATAGGAGTTAGACATAGAATAAACTGGCCATCTTAGTGGTCACTGAAATATTGCTGGATGCTCTTGTGGTGTCTATGAGAGGAGTCTGCTGTAGATTGGAGTAAGAAGAGAATAGGGCTACTCACTTTTGTGAGTTGATGCCATCAATTGTGCGAATCATCCTTTCATTTAGCTCCTCTTCAAAGCGCTTCTTCTGGGATTTTGTTCTGAATGAAATGAAAAGTGCCAAAAATGTACTAGGGCTATTTATTCCAAACTGCACCACAGACCACTTTCTATATTACTTATAATTTCTACAATTAAATTATAGTTGATGAAATTTGTTGTTGGGAGTGGGCTTCATATATACAAGCAACGTTAATGCTATATTACGATTAATACTACATTTATTACAGAAATAAAAAATGTGTTTACCATTAAATGCTACATATGGCTTCACTTATTCTACAGAATTTATTGCATTGTATGTCGTGTGTACTTGTACTATGCACACTCTCACTAGCTTGGCCTTTATATTGTTTTGTATGTTGCGCTAAGGCCCTGCAAGAATATTCATTTCATTATACACTTGTATATATGGATGGGATAACAGTAGGGCTGACATGATTACTCAATTAAAATTGACAAAATGTATTGATGAAAATGTACGTTCTCAGTGAATCAGCCTAGTAACTAGTTTGCCAATTGAATAATACACAGGTCATAATAAAGCAGCCTGATGATTCTCCATGAGGGGGAGCTAAGCCGCTTTTCTAGGTATCACTGAAAGAGAATAAACCCACACCAGCAGGATCCCACAAATGTATTTATGTATGAAGTAAAAGTGTATATGAAGCAGCATATTTCATTTCAAGGTCTAAGCTGAACAGCTCAGCCTAACAGGCTGCTCCAATAATATTCAGAGACAGACTTTAGCCAAAGATTCACTGTAAAACCGCAAAATACACAGTGAAAAAGATGCCACTTCAGTGTCTGTTAAAATTTTCAAATCCTTCAGATATCCATGTACAAGTAGAGCTGGCTTAAACCCTGTGTTGGAAGTGATCACCACTGCTAGCTTGGTGCTAACAGAAAACAGCATTATCATAGTAGTGGTATTCAGGCTACTTATAAAGTCAAGATTACTTATAGTGACAGCCCTATAAAACAGTAGAATTCTTCTAGACAGAAATTCTTCTTTCTTAATGATGTCCAGAGAGAAAACTGACCTTTCTGATCGTCCCTGAAAATGGTAGTGCCCCATTGGCACATCCTGAAAAGGAAAAAGAAAATCTGATGATGTAATAATTTCTGTTAAAGAAAAAGCCCAATTTTTCACTTGTTGGAGTACTGTACTCCATTCAGATTTGCAGATTACTCCACTTTTTTACGAGCACACACACTGCAAAAAAAGTGTCTTTTTACCTTAAATATAGTCAATAAATCTAATATTTCTCCTGTTGAGATTTTTGTAAGCTTAATTTAAGATTGTTTACCTTATTATTAGACTTTTTTACTTGTTTTAAGTATTTTTATTAAGTAAAATTATCTCCCCATATTGTTTTAACAAATGTGCTTGAAACCAGCAGAATTATGTTCCAGTTTAGTGAGATAATTTTACTTGATAAAATTGCCTAAAACAAGTAAAAATGTCTAGAAATAAGTGCACAACCATCTCAAAATGAGAAATATTAGACATATCGACTAGATTTCAGATCATTTCACTTGACAAAATATAATTTCTTGCAGTGCAACTACTGCCTAAAGTAAACTAAAAGACATGACTGTGATGATGTAATATATATTGATGTGTTAAGCTATTTATCTGGGCAGTGAGGGCAGTAGGATTTAGTTGTTCGTTAGAATAAATACAAATAAACAAATTAAGAGTACACTGTGAGTTGATGTGTGTGTATCTGCAATTTCCAAAGCTCTCCTGGAAGAGGTCCAGTATTTAAGGTTACCATACAGTATCTAATTAATCTAATCAATCCTTCATTAGATTAAATCAGGAGCTGCTGATGGAACTGAACTCCATGCGAAATCCATGCGATGGCTGGAGTGCAGTGAGAAAGAACAGAAACCAAACCTGTGTTCTTCTAACTGTATTCTCCTAACCAACATATTCATAACTTTTTTTAAAAAAAACTAAACATTCTTGTATGTTTACTTGTATTTATTCCAATGTTATGTAGCATTTATACTGGCAAACACTGCTGAGATAAACAGTTGGAAACTGTTTTCACGGCTGCCTAAGACTCACGCGTGTGTTGATCTTGCCGTTCTCGTTGGTCATGCTGTCTCGGTGGTGCAGGTTGGCGAAGGGTTTGGCCGCTCCCCAGGACTCCAGGTACTGAGTCATGCGCACAGATGCCCTCATCTTCACCCCATCCAGAGCGGGACGGGGGCGGCAGTGAAGCTGCGGGCTACGCCTCTCACCCTGGGAGTTAAAGTACGTCACATACATACATAATACAGTATGATTCGCAGATGTAGATGATCATTGTGTGTGAGAGCAGAGAAACTACAGTAACAAGGTCATATAAAGCTTTGCATGTAACAACAAAGGAAGACAGTAAAAATCACCAAAACACACCTTATTTCACTGTATTCCAACTGAAGCCCTGGCTGCATTTAAGAGTGTAGAATTTCATGTTTGGACATGTACACTTGGAGGTACACTACCCTTCAAAAGTTTGGGAACACCTTGCTTTTCAATTTTTTTTTAAAGCGCCCATATAATGGAAAACCAAACCTCACTTTTTTTCAGGGAAAAGTTTGATGTAGTACATAAACAGCGCTAAAGGTTCAAATTGCACTGTTCATTCTCCCAGTTCATACAGTCAGTATACATTATATGGACAAAAGTATTGGGACACCTACACATCACACCCACAGGAGCTTTCATGACATCCCATTCCAAATCCATAGGCATTAATATGGAGTTGGTCCCCCTTTACAGCTATAACAGCTTCCACTCTTCTGGGAAGCTTTCTACAAGATGTTGGAGAGTGTCTGTGGGAACATTTGCCCATTCATCCAGAAGAGCGTTTGTGAGGTCAAACACTGATGTTGGACGAGAGGGCCTGGCTCGCAAGCTCAGTTCTAGTTCACCCAGAGAAGCATGACTCGTCACTCCACAGAATATTTCCACTGCTCCAGAGTCCAGTGGCGGTGTGCTTTACACCACACACCCCAATTTGGCATTATGCATTTTGATCTTAGGCTTGTGTGTAGCTGCTTGGCCGTGGAAACCCATTTCGTGAAGCTGCTAACACACAGTTCTTTTGCTGATGTCGCTTTCAGAGACAATTTGGAACTCTTTAGTAAGTGATTCAACAGAGAACAGGCACTATGCACTTCAGCACTTGCCGGCCCCACTCTGGCTATGCGCTTAATTTGATCCACCTGTTAGCAATGGGTGTGGCTAAAACACCTGAACTCAATAATTAGGAGGTGTGTCCTAATACTTTTGTCTATATAGTGTATGGTAATTAAGCTGTAAACAGCCTGTTTTGAATTCATTGTTTCTATGATATCAAAGAAAGCCAAAACATTTATAGATTTCCACCTATTCAGCCTACAGCAGTTTAGCTCCACCCATTCATGTTGGAGTTTTTTAAAGAGCATTTCAGCTTGGACTGAATGAACTGGCAATGTTACTGGGTGAAAATGAAAAGCAAGTATTTTTTACAAACATTAATTTTAGCTCCCAGAAGTCATTAGGCCTTCTCTGAAGGCCTAGAAGTGCTTGAGTGCCTGAGGCCTGAGATTTTTTTGTTACATAACTGAAAAGTAACAGTAATTTTAAAAGAAGGCAATATGTCCTCAAACTTTTGATGACTAATTAGCACTTTATTTAGATCTCATCCTGACAGCTTGGGACACTTTCCACATGAGCAAACTCTCTTTCAAGTGCAAAATCGTAGCCAAAATTCACCGAGACTGTGTGTTAATCACATAAGTGAACCAAATGAAATTGAACTATGTTGGTATATAATCAGCAATTCGAACTATGAAGCAACATAAGCAGCAATTAATCAAGAGCAGTTTCAAGATGGCGCAAGAATAGCAGCATGATCAATCTTAAATTTAGCGCACGCTGTGAGTCGAGAGGTGGCGTAGGAGGAGCCGTGGGCCGCTGCGGGTCGGCCTGCTGAAAGGCTTTAGAGGTGGAGAACAGAAACCTGCAGGAATCCCTCAGGAGAGGAGCAGCCGCTGTTGAGCCCATAGGCAAGAACAAACATCCACTGATGGAGCCAAAATAAATGACCAGATTTGAAAAGAAGCAGAGGGTGTTACGTAGGAATATACGCTGCCAAGCTGAGTGATTTCTGTGGGCAGGAAAAAACCCACACACATCTAAAAACATAAGCATTCTGGGATCATCTGAGTTGCAGCGTCTGGTTTTGCTCAGCGCTGTGCCAGGTTGCCACAGTAAATAGACGCTTTTCAAAGGAGACGTTTACGGAGGACGGCTTATGCTTGAACTGATGGTGAAGTAAAGGGCTGTGGAGGGGCTGCCAGACACTGGGGATGTTAAATCTGATTACCGAAGGTGCTTTAATTCAATCAGAGGAAGCGACACCATTGTTTTTCCAAGAAACCATCAAACCAGTGCCAAAGCATTTTACTCGTGCAGTGCAATACAACACAACCATCTGGGCTTTAGACATTTAAGATGGTCAGGAGTCCGTGTTTGACCCTTGGAAGATGCAGTTATCACAGGAACAGAATCAGGTTGTGATTTCAAATTAATTCTGTTGAAAGTGCAGATTCCAAATTTTCCATCCATACCACATTTGTGTTTGTAAGTAAAAGAATAGATATTTTATTATGATTGGTATTTGATGAAAAGTTATAGCTGTGGGTACAGTCCTCTTTCTTTATTTTGTTTTTGCTTTGCAATATCTGCTGATATATTTTGCCAGTGTGGACTGGAATCTGTCAATACAAAATATAAATTGAATGTAAATGAACTTATCTAATTCACGATGTAATTAAGTACGTAATTACTGGAGCTGTCAAGGTTAACCTGTTACTAACATGTTACTACAATAACCACCCATTTTTTAAGTACTTAACATTTTCTGTAGTACTTTAGGCTGAAGCTCAGCTGTGTTTCTGTGACAGAATCTGTGACTGACAGTGCTTGCTTGTGATGAAAACTCAAAACTTTGTTCATTTTGGACCCTTTGGACCCCCATATGGACCCTTCTGATGAAGGTTTGTCCACTCATATAGCTAAATATAACAAAATGAACTGCTTTTTTAAATGGAGAAAAATGTCTTTAGGGTCAAATTTGAGCAAATAAGACAACTGCGAATAACTGTGATGAACCACAGGAAATAATGTGATTAATCATGAGTCATTATCTTAATCATCCTACAGCCATAGCACTAATTACATTTAAATAATTATGTGATGTAATTTGTATGACAATTACAGAAATAAATCAGATTTGCACGATTTTCTGCTTCCCCAGATGTGTCTAAATTTTGCTTCTTCAGTTTAGACATGGAGCTATGAGGCTAATGTAGTTAACCAACATTAGACGTCAATAGCCACTCAAGTCATTTCTATAAATACGTGCCCAAAACATCTCTCAATCCACTCAAACCACATCCAGCTCTTCATTAAGGTCACATAGACTTGTGAATGTGGTTTAAAACAGAGGTTCTCTAAGTTTTGCACTCCAAATCTCAACTTTTTATCACACCATAAAGGCCCACAACCAAAAAAAAAATTGCATAAACTTTTTTTAATTATTTCTCAACTGCTGATCCTGAGAACCTGAAAATTTGGCCAGAAAAGTAGCTTAAAGGTCAGGTTGCAAATTAGAGTCCAATCATAGAAATCAAAATTTGCAGTGTCCTTCAGAAATTAAAAAAAAGAAAGGAGAAAAAAAACTATTTTGTGTTTAGAGCTTCAGTGCTAAATTCTATGTAAAAGCTGGCTCTGTACACTCTCATGCAAAAAATGGCCCAATCCAAAATTATTAATGGTTTTTACTAACAGTTTTGGCCAGTCAGAGTCCAGATCTAACTCTTATAGAGATTATTTGGTCTCACATTCAGCACAAACTAGCTTGGCAATGTTTTTTCAGCTGTGAGATGCCATCAGTGCTGAGTTAACCAATATTGACGCTTCTTTCTATAAACGGCTTTCTGCAAATTTAACCACTCATTATCTAAGCCACTTATCCTTCTGGGTCGTGGAGGTTGCTGGAGCCTATCTCGGCAGTCATTGGGCAGAAAGCAGGAAACACCCTGGACAGGTCGCCAGCCCATCGCAGATCAGTCACAAACACATATGCAATCACAAACACAGTCACACCTAGGGGCAATTTAGTATCTCTGACTGCACGTCTTTGGGAGGAACCCCACACAGACACGGAGAGAACACGCAAACTCCACACAGAAAGGAATCGAACCCAGGCCCTTCTTGCCGTGAAGCGACAGCGCTACCCACTGCACCACCATGCCACCCCAAGCTTCAAATCAAAGGGGAAAAGCTAGTAATGATTTGTTGTTAAGATCATTAAAAGCTTAATGATTTGCCATTGTGAGTTGGTGAGGCTCAGTCAAGACAGTCAAGATTTCAAATATAATAAAAGACAAAACAGAATGAATTTTGTATGTTAGTTCATTTTACATGAGTGATAAACTATAAATTGCGGTTATTCATAAACTCCTATAATAAATAAAACCTAACCAGTCTTAATTTAGCTCTACATTCAAATTTTTTTGGAAGAAAAAAAAGAAAGAAAGGTTAAAGATATTTCTCTGTCCTTTCTCAATCTTAAGGTCTTAACTGAAAGAGCAGAGCACAGCAGTGACCTACTTATCCAGTCTTACTGTGCATTTCTGTTTGAGTTGTTGTCATTAGTGCTGTTTTAGTGGGAATATAGTGGGAATGTAGTGAGTATCATTGAACATAAGACATCTACACGTTAAGCCAATGTGAGCTTGTTTTATACCAGAAATGAGGCAAATTAAGTGGAATGTTTCTGCAAAGAATCGTCTACAGTTGCTTGTGAGTGGGTGAGTGAAGCGTCAGGGGAGTGTATTTTGTTTCTAAAGGCAAGGGTCAAAAAATAAATGAGGCTGCTTTGTACATTTCTGTTGCATTGCTGTGGCTTCTATTAATATTGTTTACCATTTAAAACATTTGAGACAATATTCTTTACTGATTTTTATGACATAAAGTGCCATTAGTGGCACTGGCTCACCCCTTCTAGAAAAAACACATAGACCAGCATGGTTGGTCACCAGCATAACTAGCATATGTTGTGTTTTGGATGCTGGTAAGCTGGTCAACCAGCAAGACCATGCTCTGTGATCATGATGGGTATGTACAGCCCTGGGCCCACCAGAGCGTGCTTCACTGCCCACGTGTTGTCAATCGCTCAGTAGTTATGAAACCCTGGTTTAGGAGACACTTTGACTTACTGTAAAGTATAAAAATGAACAAAACGTCACAACGTAGCTGAACGCAGTGGGCAGTCATTTTAGACAACGGGTGACAAAATCTGACTCTTTGTATACACAGAAGTTATGCAGGCCTACAGATGATGTTTGAGATTTCTGTCATTTATTTTTATACATAACTGTTAATGTTGAATTTTCAAACTGAACATATATGTTTTCAAATAAAACAGCAATTTTGGATGTATTCTAGTGTCCATATGCCTGTATAACGTGCATTTACACAGAGTCAGACTCTGCTGGGAGGTCAGAATTCATCGCATGTTGTCTAAAATGACTGCCTGCTGTGTTCAGCTACACAGTGAAGTTTCGTTCATTTTTATAGTTTACAGTAAGTTTTATTGTGTCTTAACAACATCAACAAGTCTGTGTGACCTTAACGAAGACCTGGGTGCAGTTTGAGTGGGTCGAAAGACGTTTTGAGGATGAATTTACAGAAAAGATCTGGGTGACTATTGACTTCTAGTGTGTGTTAGCAACGTTAGCCTTGTATCTTCATTTCTAAACTAAAGATGTGTGAATTAGATTTTTTTTGCTGAATTATTCCCTTTAAATGTCTCATTCAGGGGCGGCACGGTGGTGCAGTGGGTAGCGCTGTCGCCTCACAGCAAGAATGGCCTGGGTTCAATTCCCGGCCGGGCGACCAGGGTCATTTCTGTGTGGAGTTTGCTTGTTCTCCCCGTGTCTGTGTGGGTTTCCTCCCACAGTCCAAAAACATGCAGTCAGGTCGATTGGACATGCTAAACTGCCCCAGGTGTGAATGTGTGTGTCTGTCTGTCTGCCCTGCGATGGACTGGCGACCTGTCCAGGGTGTATCCTGCCTTCCGCCCAGTGACGGCTGGGATAGGCTCCAGCACCCCACCACGACCCAGAAGGATAAGCGGTTTAGATGATGTATGTATGTATGTCTCTTTCATACCTTGGGGTTGATGACCAGGTAAGTAACGATGCCGTGCTCTTTCAGGTACGAGTCTCGGCTCTGTCCATTTCCCGCCTCCACTTTATACGACCCTTTCAAATGTTCCAGCGTTACAGAAGAGATGTGAACCCGTCTGTGGAACAGCACACAGGACAAACAGCCGCACCGGAGAGAGAAAACACTTCAACCAAAACACGTGGACGAGAAATATTACATCAACCCTCTTCTGCGGCTCACAGAGAGAGGACGCTAAGTGTATAATAGGAACGAGGCACCCAGATAATGAAAGAGACAGAGCGGCTTTTATTGTCTTTTAGTCGAACAAAAACTCATCATCACCCACAAGCACCTTTAGAGTGCTCTCCACAGGATGTTTATATTAACATGAAGAGCCCTTGATCGATTTAATAGCGCTCATCACAAATACAAAGACAAAGAGAGAGAGAGAGAGAGAGAGGGAGAGAGACAGTACAAAAAGCTCACCCAGGTACACCTCCAGCCTCCATGTGGTTGGCCAGAGTGACGTCATGTGACCAGACATCGTACTGCCATTTCTGGAGGCCAATTACGCCACACAGAACGTTCCCAGAATGCACTCCAACACGCATGTTAATGTCGACCCCAGTGGCATCTCTCACCTTCCTGAAATGACACGTCATATGTCAGCATGGCAGCATTCCTGATTTATTAAACACGCTATTTAGATTTGTACAGTACCTGGCGAGTTCAGTTACTATTAGAGCTTCAATAAACCGTAGTTACTGTACATGTGTACATATTTACAGTGAAAAAGTGATGCACTGAATTGACTCAATTCAGATGTGTACATCAATTCCACACAAATACAATACACTAGATCAACACTGTTACTGCCCAAAGTAAGTAGACTAATACACAAGAATGCTGATGTACACTCTTAAAAAAAAGGGGGTCACAGATTCCACAGCATCGGCTTTATCAGCCAAGTTCATTCATAAACTTTCCTCTTCTATGTTTATTTTATTATCATTATTATATTGTTTTCTTTTTCTTTTTCTTTATTTTCCTTTCCACTTATTTGGTACTAGTCTGCGTTCTCTTTCTCCCTCTTGCTCTTTCTCCTCCACCTCATGGTTTCTCTCTCTCTCTACTCCCTCCCTTTCTTCCTCTTTCTCCCTCTCTATCGCACTTCACCTCCTTCTCCCCACATTCTCTCGTCCTATCTCTCCCTCTCCTTGATCCTCTCTCTCTTTCTCCTCCCCCTCATGGTTTCTCTCTCTCTCTACTCCCTCTCTTTCTTCGTCTTTCTCCCTCTCTATCTCACTTTACCTCCTTCTCCCCACATTCTCTTGTCCTATCTCCCCCTCTCTCTTCATTCTCTCTCTCTTTCTCCTCCACCTCATGGTTTCTCTCTCTCTCTACACTCCCTCTCTTTCTTCCTCTTTCTCCCCCTCTATCTCACTTCACCTCGTTCTCCCCACATTCTCTCGTCCTGTCTCCCCCTCTCCTTCATCCTCTCTCTCTTTCTCCTCCCCCTCATGGTTTCTCTCTCTCTCTACTCCCTCTCTTTCTTCCTCTTTCTCTCCCTCTATCTCACTTTACCTCCTTCTCCCCACATTCTCTTGTCCTATCTCCCCCTCTCTCTTCATTCTCTCTCTCTTTCTCCTCCACCTCATGGTTTCTCTCTCTCTCTACACTCCCTCTCTTTCTTCCTCTTTCTCCCCCTCTATCTCACTTCACCTCGTTCTCCCCACATTCTCTCGTCCTATCTCCCCCTCTCCTTCATCATCTCTCTCTTTTTACTCCACACTGTTTCTCTCTCTCTACTAACTCTCTTTCTTCCTCTTTCTCCCCCTCTATCGCACTTCCCCTCCTTCTCCCCACATTCTCTCGTCCTATCTCCCCCTCTCCTTCATCCTCTTGCTCTTTCTCCTCCACCTCATGGTTTCTCTCTCTCTCTACTCCCTCTCTTTCTTCCTCTTTCTCACTCTCTCTCTCTTCACCTCCTTCTCCCCACATTCTCTCGTCCTTTCTCCCCCTCTCCTTCATCCTCTCTCTCTTTCTCCTCCACCTCATGGTTTCTCTCTCTCTCTAGTCCCTCCCTTTCTTCCTCTTTCTCACTCTCTCTCTTCACCTCCTTCTCCCCACATTCTCTCGTCCTATCTCCCCCTCTCCTTCATCCTCTTGCTCTTTCTCCTCCACCTCATGGTTTCTCTCTCTCTCTACACTCCCTCTCTTTCTTCCTATTTCTCCCCCTCTCTCTCTTCACCTCCTTCTTCCCACATTCTCTCGTCCTTTCTCCCCCTCTCCTTCATCCTCTTTCTCCTCCACCTCATGGTTTCTCTCTCTCTCTACTCCCTCTCTTTCTTCCTCTTTCTCCCTCTCTATCTCACTTCACCTCCTTCTCCCCACATTTTCTTGTCCTATCTCCCCCTCTCTCTTGTTCTCCTACCCCTTACTCTTTCTCTCTCTACTCCCTCTTTTTTCTTTTCTGTCTCTCTTTCTTGCCCCCCCCCTCCCAGTACACTTTACTGGTTGTCTGAATAATGCATTCAGTGGACTGTCTTATTCCATGCTAGAAATATTTTTAGCAATGCACATATCAGAATATGACAGTAGTTCCAGTGTCTGGTGTTGAGATGTGTGAGTTACTGTGTGAGTATGTGTTGTATGCATGCGATTGTTTGCTTCTGTATGCAGCCACTGCTGATGTGGATCAACATATCTTCTCCAGTCCTGTCGCAGTTAAGCCTGAATAAAGTGAGTGTGTATGTTTGTGTATACATGCAGGATACATTTAGTGATCAGACTGTGACTGATGCACTAGTTCAAACCTTCAGTTCACGATGAGGTAGAACAGACAATAAGAGCTACGAGTCTCCAGCACAGTGAAAAATAGATTTGTGTCCAGGCTTCTGCACTGAACTCATCATACTCTACAGTATATTCTTCATGGTACTGACAGAAGGCCAGTGATGCAAACTGTTCTGTGTAATCAATTTCAACCTTGTCTTCATTTGGAGGACAAAGAGCCTTACTATTAATATAATGCAGTATTTTATTTTCTTATTATCATCTTACTGTGTTTTTAGGTAATAATGAAAATCTTTTTAATAGCCTTTTTAAACTTTTAGCTGTATCTAATGTTGCATTATGAATGTCTGTAGTATTTGCAAGGGGTTTTCATTCATAGTTATTAAACAGTGAGTCTTTATGAGCCTACATTTCTAACATATTGCTATAAGCCTACATCACATGTAGTCACATAGTGACTATTTTCTAGAATAATTTAGTGACTGTTTTTATATTTGTATTTTTATATTTAATTTTTAATTTTCATGTAAGTCATGTCAGCTTCTAGCAATACAGTCAGCCACAGAGAGAGAGAGAGAAAGAGAGAGAAAGAGAGAGAGAGAGAAAGAGAGAAAGAAAGACAAAAAGAGTGGGAGCGAGCAAGAGAATGAGAAAGAGAGAGCAAAGCAAAGAGAAAGAAAGTGTGAGAGCAAGCGAGAGTGTAAGAGAGAAAGAGACAGAGATGCGCAAGAAGAGAAAGGCAGTAACAGAATAAAAGAGAGAGAGAGAGAGGGAGGGAGAGAGAGAGAGAGAGAGAGAGAGAGAGAGAGAGAGAGAGAGAGTGTGAGAGAAAGAAATAAAGAAATAGTGGGGGAGAGAGAGAGAAAGAGAGAGAGAGAAGGGGTGGTGTTTTACTTGATGGCCTCACACATGTCCAGTCCCATCTTTACGCAGTTCTTGGCATGGTCAGGCAGAGACTCAGGCAGACCGGACACACAGTAATAACAGTCTCCTAAAATCTTAATCCTCATACAGTCATTATCCTGAAACACAAACAACACAGACACAAATTATAGCTGATTAGACTAAACACAGTCATAAACCCCTTAAACTGCAGACCTACTATTCAAACTCAAAGCCAAATTTTATTCAGTGCTTTTTCAACAGGTGTTGTCACAAAGTAGCTTTACAGAAAATCTGGCTCTGAGCCCCCATGAGTGTCGCCAGGGGTGACAGTAGAAAGAAAAAACTCTCTAAGAGCAAGAAGAAGAAACCTTGAGAGGAAGCAAGACTCAAAAGGGGAACCCGTCCTCTTCAAGTTGACACCGGGTATCAAAACAAAAAACATAAAGGCAAAACGAACTGTTAAATGGCTTTTAAAAAAATTTAAATGACATTTGTCTGTATTATAAAATGTAAAACCATATAAACTTAAATTTAAATTTATAATACTATGAATAATTCGCTAACTACCATGAATTATTTTGCAAATGCAATGAATTATTTAGTAAATATTATAATTATTATGTATATACTCTGAGTTATTCAGTTCTATTATAAGTTTTTAGTAAGAACTATAAATGATTCAGCCGTCCACCCAATGACTGCTGGGATAGGCTCCAGCTCCCCCGCGACCCAGCAGGATAAGCAGCTAAGGAAATGTGTGTGTGTGTGTGTGTGTGTGTGTGTGTGCAACTACTATGAATTATTCAGTAACTACTATAAATGATTCAATAACTACTCTGAATTATACAGTATAATCTAGTTTCAATTATTGAGTTACTACTATGAATTTTCAGTAACTATTATGAACTTTTATTAAATGTTCTATAATTCTGGAATCTACTATAATATCCAACAATAATAATTCTATTTTTATTTATAGAGCACTTTTCATACCAGTGGCACCTCAAAATGCTTTACAGACTATGAATTATTCAGTAACTAAATGGAAGTTTGGAAGCACCACTCATTCTTAAAGTTTAAGGCATATAATATACAGTGGATAGATAGATAGATAGATAGATAGATAGAAGTGTATTACATGCTGAAGTATGTATGGCAGTGAGGTACTGTGGTGTGTGCAGTACCTTGGCTATCTGGTCAAATTTGCCAAAAAGCTCGTTGAGCATATGAACCAGTTCTCCTGGAGAGCAGTCACTGGCCAGTTGAGTGAATCCAACAATATCTGCATACAGGATGCTGTCAAAACACCATAAAAGACCTTTAAGGGGATAGTTAGGCCTGGAGAATCCCATGGGAACCACTAGGGGGTCCCGCAGGCAATTATAACTAAACCTAAACAGCTGTTTTGACGTGCGGTGGGAACTTTACTAGAGGCACAGTGAAAAAATGAACTAAATGAATTCATCAGTGTGTTATGGATGATCATAATCCTGATGCTCTCCACGTCTTTCCCAAACACGCTGCTTCATTTTCTCCTCCAATCACTGCATAGCAGCCATTCCACTGTGCACCATTACTTTAATTCAGGCTTTTTAGTCGTGAGAGTATTTATTGAATGTGCTTTGAGTTTTTCAAGTGTCAGAAATTCAAAAGATGTATCTGAGGGATTTGTAACAGCGAGACCTGATACTTTGACAGAGTAGAGAATGCCCATTTCCAAAGCCAAGCATAAAATGTTAGCCACCCAAGTTAATGAAAACAGTTGCTGTGTCCTTGTTGGTAGTGATCAAAGGTAAGATATAAATGGGAGAAACTTCCACGCCCGCTGTGTCAGCCTGCTTTAGTTTAGAATGGCTGACGGTTCAGGTTTTTAAGTTTGCTGCTTTATTTTTTCATTATGTAAATTCTAGTTGTCAGATTTTAACCTTTAATTTTTTTTTATTTTAATTTTATCATCTTCATTGTTGTAAATGTTTTGCTTGTGAAGAGCAGACGCTTTACAGGGACACAGGGACTCAATATCTCAAAACTGCTCAGAACGTAGAGGGACATAAATTAGTTGTTGAGTTTATGTTAACCTGTGCTCTTGTTAATGTGTACGTATTGCTATTGTTAATCTGCAAGTATTGTTTGCTATTGTTTTGTCTCTATTGGACAAAAAATATGTGCTCATGGGGATGACATGCTCACCATCTGGGCCCAGGCAGACAGTGTCATACACTGTCAGAAACCACATAAGCAAGTCTTTTTGAGATTACTTACACTGCAAAAAATTGCATCTTATCAAGTAAAATTATCTTAAATATAGTTAATAAATCAAATATCTCATCTGTTACGATTGTTGCAAGCTGAATCTAAGATTATTTATCTTATTTCTAGACATTATTTACTTGTTTTAAGTAATTTTATTAAGTAAAATTATCTCACTATAATGGCAGATTATATTGCTTATTTTATGAAATGTGCTAGAAACCAGCAAAATTATCTGCCAGCATAATGAGAAAATTTTACTTGATAAAATTACCTAAACAAGTAAATAACATCTAGAAATAAGAAAGAAATTCTTACTTTAAGTACACAAACATCTCAAAATTGGAAATATTAGATATATTGATTAGACCTAAGAACTTGATAAGATACCATTTTTTGCAGTGTAGCAACTTAATGCGGTTTAATCCAAGTGATGAATTGATCAGGGAGTTCACTCAGTGATAACGTGTGGCTACAAGCTGATATTTCTTGTTAGCTGCATCTTCCATCTCCATCGTTAGCAATGTAGCTCCACTGCAAAGCTAAGGAAGCAGGTGCTAAAGATGTCTTGACTGATCAGCTACAGTTGGGATGATGTAAATTTGACTTTTTTTGCTTAAAACAACTTTCAGACTATTGCGTTTGTTACTGCTCACATAGAAGAGTCATGTGATCTGCTATTGCATCAAATTTTGATGTTTCCCTCCTTCTTGTTTTATCAGTGCTCTGCACCATGAAACCTCACACTGAGAGGGGTGTACTTCCCCCAGTGTTCTACACACTGTAATGGCACGGCTGTGAAGTCCGAGGCTTAAGATCTCTGTGAAATCCGGAGTAAATTAGTGCCTCTGTACTCTAACACAAATAGGGCTCTTCAGAAAGCTGTTGTGCTGTGGGAGGTCAGAGGAAACATCTAGCCATCTCCCTCTTCCTGCAAAACAAACACGAGTGCCCCTCATAATGAGCCGCGCTGTCCCTTCAGCATGCTCTCACCATGATGAAAAACATATTACGGGGGAAGAGTAAAGCTTTGAAGCGAAGCAAAATATTACCTCAAAAACATAAAGGACTCCTTGTTTTTCCATATGATGGAAGGAAAGCAGTTTTGAATAAAACTGAAGAATCTCTTTAATATCTGATCTCTGTTTAAAGGTGTATGGTTGAATATCAAGTATGTTTATGTATTTATAGAGGCTAGAAATGCACAAGAACTCTCAGCGCTCACTTGTATTTGGGATATTTAGCTGAATTCCACAATTTTTTCGAAATGTCTGCATAATCACTTGTTAAGATGTAAAGAAAGTCAGTGTGGATGGATATGAAAAGCACCATTCTAGAGAAATTTACCATCAGAACTATTCACAGAGGTGGTGACAGGAACTAGATGTCTATACTGCAAAAAAAGTAAAATTATCTTAAATCTAGTGGATATATCAAATATTCCTCCCATTGTAAGCTTATTTTAAGATAATTTAACTTATATCCAGACATTTTTTTACTTGTTTTAAGTAATTTTATTAAATAACATTTCACTTTATTGGCAGATAACATTGCTTGTTTTAAGAAATGTGCTTGAAAACAAGGTAAATTATCTGCCAGTACAGTACAGTATAGTATTGTTTTACTTAATAAAATTACTTAAAAGGAGGACCAATCAGGTTCAGGACCAGTCAGGTTCTGCCTCTTTGTCATGTCACCTTACTGCTCAGTGACTGCGGGAAAAGTTTATAAAACTTTATGAAACATGAAAATATGTTGCTGAAACTCTGCCTGTCTTCTTTTAGTGCTTTTAAAAACTCTTATTGTCCTACATTTTAGAAGCAATGAACCTTAAAGGTAATTAAATAGTGAACATTTGAATTCATGGGCTCTTATTTACAATATAAACATTAATTTCATTTATTCATCCATCTTTTCTTTGTTTTTCTTTCTCCCAAAATAAAACCTTTTGGTGCATTACAGTCACATTTCTGATATAAAACACAACCTCATATGGCCTTTAGACTCACCTGCCATACAAACTTGCGGGGACGGTTTATCACAGTAGCTTTTTTTTTCTAACTTAAAGGAAACTTAAACTAATGGTTTCTACCTAAAACTGACCTCTGCACTGGACAAAATATTTAGCACTGACCTTTGAATTTAATACATTAATGTCATGCTTTTTTGAATAAGAAAAAGATGATTTGTTCTAAAGCAAAAAATAAATGTCTGTTACAACGCTGATTTATGTTTAAAAACAAATTATGAGTAAACTGTTTGTGTTTGTGTTGTGAAAATCATCACTTCTTTTCATGTTTTGCCAGACAGAACCTTATAACTCCAAGCAGAAAGTGAGTTCTTACAGATTTGATAGGACTTTGATACTGCACATTTAGAATACATTTAGGGTGTCTGTCATTTTCATGTACATAGAGACGTGTTCCACGTATCAGTTTTGCTATTTGTAATAAAAAATCTTTGAAGATCAACATCTCAAAGCCGCTCAGAACACAGATAGAACCTTATAATGTCAAGGGTACGATATATCAGAGATATGTGTGGTGTGTTGGGCAGTGTGGTCCTACCTGACGTTGGTGTGTCTCTGCACGTAGAGGTTGTGGAAGTTGTTGGTGTTCTCGGCCTGGCCGCAGTTTGGCCCCTGCAGCCTCTGGATAATCTCCGCTTTCATCACACGCGCAATGTGTGCGGGCAGCAGGGACAGCAGAAGGCGCTCCTTTTGGTTAAAGAGAGGGTGAAAATGACCACAAACACAGAATTCTTAGGCTCTATAGGTAAGAAAGTTGAGGTAAAATATTGCGGCATCTAGACTTTTATTTTCCTGAATAAGGAGAAGAGGAATTCCACTGATTTTTTTTCAAATTTCTGAATAATTTTATACTTAAGATGTAAACAAGGTCAGTGGGAATGGTTTGATGTGAAGTTCTAGAGAAACTTATTGACTCAGACCAGTGTTAACAGTAGTGGTAATAGGAACCAGACCTCTGAAGGACAAGTGGTATGCTGTCAAATATCTGAGACATTGTTTTATGATAGATTTGAGGCAAAGTTTTGGCCTAAAACATATTTTAAAAATCCATTCATATTAAAAAAAACAAAATAGTATCCAAAGTTTTTTTTTAATTTACCACTATTTTAACATTATCAATCACATGTAAATCTAAAAAAATACATGTAAGTTTGCTGCACATTTTGAATAGTAAATAAAATATCTATATTTGTGTTGTAGACATTGTGACCCTGGTTCCTATTAGCACCACTGTAAAAAATCAATCATGTTTCTCTACATTAAACCATTTCACATCAAACCACTCTGACACACTTATATCTCATCGACTGAATTACATAGAAATTTTTAAAAAATGGGTGGAATTCCCCTGTAAATTTGTTTACAGTGAAGGTGACATAATCACAATGGTTTGTATGGCTTTAAAAGGACCTATTATGGAAGAAAAAGAGCCAAATGAATCAACTACAGAAATCACAACCACAGCGAAACTCAAACTTGTGAATTTGAGCAGATGGGTACTGCGATGCTGTTCTCTTCACTCAGTCGTGAATAAAGGAGCAGATTGGCTCCAGCCCAATAACTGCAGTGAAATTGCAGATGAAGTGTGTTCAGAGCAGAGCAAACTGTGACTTAGGGGGCACAAAAGGAAGGTTAATTATGGTCTGACTCGGGTGCATTTTCCTGACATTTAAAAAAACGACACACAGAAACGCTTTCAAATCAACGTGTTATTATCAAAACAGGCCATTTACTCTCACAATCGGCTTCAGGTTCAGCGCACATGTTTCTCAGACTGTTGCTGACGTGAATTGACTACAGCTGGGAAGCTGGGAAAATTAATTAAAAATTAAAATGAACATGCCCAAAAATGTCCAGATAGCCCTTCTGGTCAGTCAATTCAGCACCCATTTCAATTGTACACACAGCTTGTATAATCTCCATAGAAAAGTACTGACCAAAAGGAAAGGGGTGCTCTGGAGCAGATGCACAGGAGCCTAAGGTCACCATGCCTGTTGGCTAGAGTGGTATAAAGACCTCCAGGAGCTCCAGAACTGATCATCCAACATCAGTACCTGACCTCACTAATGCTCTTGTGACTGAATGCAATCAAATCCTCACAGCAATGTTCCAACATCTAGTGTAAAGCCTTGCCAGAAGAGAAGAGGCTGTTACTGCAGTAAAGGAGGACAAACGTTATTAAAACTCTTCATTTCAGAAGAAACGCTGGACGATCAGGTGTCTGCAAAAGTAGGTAAGCGTGGTAGGTAAAGGCAGATAAAGGCATCCATAAATAAAGAAATAAATTAATTAATACGTAAAAATTGTTTGCAGGATATTAAATCCTGGATTGTGTATTAGTGTCCTTAAACCTAGCTAATAAAATTGAAGTGATTGAATTGGCCTGACTTTATTGTGGACACAGCTCACGATGTCTTTTAATCATCTTCACAGGTTTAAAATCTCAGTGTCACTTTCAACAAAATGAGACAGTCTGCATTCTTTGATTTGAAGGATATAGCCCACATTCAGTCATAGCTCACATTTGTTGATGCCAAGCATATTATGCAGTTGTGTGCAAAAGTTTGTGCACCTCTGGTCAAATGAGATATTTCGTTTATTTTGTTGAAGTGAAAATAAATGAACAAAAACTCTACAGAGAACACACTTCCGCACATTTTTATGCACATTTACTTACTGAATTTAACATATAGAGAAAAAATTAAACATAAAATATGTCCTATGTAAAAGTATATAGTAAAAATAGCATATTTTACAGAATGTCATATTTAAGTTCTCTGTAGAGGATGCTAAACTTTCACAAACGACCGCATTTATATCTTCGGATCTTTACGACTTCAATGCTCTTCTTATGGGTCCTCTATTTTACGCTCTAAGAACACCACAGCTAATGCAAAATGTATGTATTATTATTATTATTATTATTATTTTTGTTATTATTAGTGTTAAATGATTTAAGTAATTCCACAGGTAGTCTAGTAAGTAAGTGAGTAAGTAAGTAAGTAAGTAAGTGAATAAATAACATATTCCAGGCTATATGTCAGCTCACCTCCTCAAGTGGAGCCTCAGTGGGAAATGAAGCGCTTAGCTACTGAAACAGTCAGTCAGCAGATATGGCCTGAGCTAATGTAGCGAGAGATCAGTCCATCTACAGAGCAGCTCCAGTGAAGTGGCGGTAAAAGCAGAGGGCCGTCAGGCTCTGCTGATGACGTTCATTAAAAATACCAACACATTGTGCCACACATGGCAGACCAGAGTGACTAGTGATGTACTGAGGCAAAGCTGCCATCCATCTCAGCGGTAATTACAGCAGAACATAAAAGCCTGGAGCCAAATAACAAAAGAGTGTCTGTATGAGTTAACAGGGACAGAGAGTGGGGAAAGTGGGAGATTTGTGGAGCATAACTGCACCGCAAAGGAGCTAAAAGAGCAACAGCGCAGGTGACATCTGGAAAATGTTGCATTTGCAGGTGTGTACAGTACAGCATCATGTATTTATTTACTTTGCAGTCAAAAATGAGTCATTATTTCAAGATGCTATGTCAAAATTTTGGGAAAAGTAGTCATCATAATGACATCGAATGTCAAAATTGGGAAAACAAGCAGCAACTAAGAACCAATTATTCATTTTTCAGCAGGTATTTGTGAGGAGATTAGATGTAATACTTGATGCTTCTGTGTAAATTTCTATTTTTTAATTTTTCCTGACTTTAAAAAATGAGTAACTTATGCTTAATGGCCATTTGACTGGAAATTAAATTAACAAAAGGTTGGTCTCTTTTAACTTTTACGCCATACTGTATATGCAGATAATTTCACAATAACAACAGCTGCTCAGCCTCTGTCTACTTGCTTGGATCTCACACACTTCACTATCACCTCCTAGAGGCTCTTTCTAATCATTTCACACAGGATAAAAACCAACAAACGCAGCAAAAGCAGCCAGAAGGAAGTCTTACACAAACTTCCACCCCACCCAGCTCGGAAAGGAAGGACAGGGTGGGGGTTATTGAGCTATTTCTGGCCAAAACAACTCTCAGCTTCACTCGGCCTTGGTAGATTCAGAGCCGGTTGTAGTGACATAATGATCCTTTGTGTTCAACTGCATGGATGACTCATACTAACAACCCCACAGACCCCTATTACTCTCCAGCCCTCACTCACCCTCCTGAAGCTACACTTACTCTACCGACCTGCAGAGCCAGGCATTATCAATCATATTAGTAATTAAGGAAATCTGTGATTATGGTGTGGAGTGATCCAAGTTTTAAAAAAGGCCAAACACAATGGATTTAACAATAACAAACTATGCTCAAATTACAGAGTAAATATAACTAGTAATTTTCTTTTTTCATTATTTCTGCAATTTTAAACTGCTAAGATATAAACAAAGTCATCTAGAGTAGTTTGTCATTTAGAGCAGTCAGAATAGTTCACAGTGGTGTTGATAGGAACCAGACATCTGAAGAGTTTAATGCCTCTAAAAGCTCCCTCACAGAAATTATTACATGAAGTGGTTGTGAATGCACAGCTTCAGGCCTGAAATACTGGATTACGATAGTTTTGAGATAAAGTTTTGGCCTAAAACATAAATTTTAAAATCTGTTCATGGTGGAGAGGTACATGCAGGGTGTTGTAAGGCAAAGTGTAACCTTTTTTTCTGCATATACCACTATTTTGCCAACATAATTACATACAAGAACTCAGAAGTGCCTCACATGCAGATCAAATTTGTCTTTTCTAATGCTAGATGCATTCACTTTTACATCAAAACTGGTAAAATCTACCTGCAGATCCTGTGATGAAATTTTGGAGTTCTTAGAGACTCCTTTTAGCGTCTTATGGTCTGCTCTCAGGATAAATTTGCTGGGGCAGCCTGGCCTGGACAAATTGGCAGTGGTTTTAAGTGTTCTCCTCTTGTAGACAATCTTCCAAACAGTGGAATGATTGATTTCCAATATTTTGAATATCTTAAACCCCTTTTCAGACTCATAGTTTTCTACTTTCTTTCTGAAGGCCTCAGAGAGCTCTTTTAAGCTAGTTATGATGATACACACACTCCAGTAACAAAGCGCAAACCAGACAGGATGTCTGAGGTTTAAATAAAACTGGTTCCTCAAAGATATTCTCTAACGGTCTACTAATCATTAGCACCTGATCAAGTGCACCTGAGTTTAATTTGAGTGATGTATATATACATATATGCATTCTAAGTGTCACTTGTTAAATTATATCACCTTTATTTTTCAATACTGTTTAAATGAAGACCTGAAATCTCCAAATATGTTGAAAAAGTCCATACATTTAATGAGGTGTACTTACTTCTTCACATGACTGTAATTATACTGATAATAAAAGAACACTTAAAAAAATAACCTTTTAATATCACTGGGGGCTGTTACCACAGTAACCCAGTTAACCGTCACTGGGCACAGACCTAGAACACACATGTAGGCTCACAGGTGGTTTTAGATAATAAATAAAATGGCTATATTTGTGTTGTAGACATTGTGACTCCTGGTTCCTATCAGCACCACTGTAAAGAAATCTGTAAGTGTCTCTACAATAAACCATTTCACACCAAACCACACTGAATGACTTTGTTTACATCGCAACACTAGGCTGCAAAGACACATCCCGATATGAATTCACTATTTTTGCGATGTCACGAAACCAACACTTGTCCATACACCCACCTATTTGGCCTACAGCAGTTTAGCTCCATCCATTCACATTGTAGTTATAAGGAGTTTTTAGCCAAGACTGCTTTCTGAATGGGGCACAATAGTCAGAACTTATTTACATTCTGAATGGAACAATAACAAAAATGGCCTTTTCATTTTGAAGGCTAGCTTTACATGGTGAAAGCTTTGTGCAACATTACTTGAAACCTACATTACACTATATTACACTTGAGTTGCATAATATGCAGCAGACTGCACTTCATTTGAAACTCAGTTGCAATGGTTGCAAGGGTCTCAAATTTGTGGAACAACTTTCATGGCCAAAATGACAATGACACCAATCAAAACAGCAGTAATGCCTCACATGATCATGTCGATTTTAAACCAATAATTTCACTATATTATTAGACAGAAGATGGTTTATTGGGCAGTTGAAAAGGAGAGCGAGTGACTCAAGGCTGGTAGTTTTCCATTTTGTGGGTTTCCTGAGGCATGACAACAAATACGAGTTTCTCAAAGCAACATTTCTGTAACAAGCTGTGTTAACTAGCTAGTTAGTGCTAACAGCTGTTTGAACAGCTGCTTGTGCCACTGTTTATTCTTGCAAGACAAGCTCCTTGATGCACTCGCTGTGCTTTTAGGACAGAATGAGTGAGATATCAAGTACAATTGTAATGGCTACTTAAACATACATTTTCAAAGGCTGGAAAAAGACACAATCATATAGTAAATAACTATAGATTTGGCTACATAGCAGAGTAATTGAATGCTTTGTGTGCAGCTTTGTGTTTAAATTGCTTTGTGTAACTGTCAAGTTGAACAGAAAGTATGTTGCAGGCAGCTCACAACATGCAACTAGGTGTGTGAAAGTTTAACCATGAACAGCCAGCCTGAATGAAAAGGAGAGGTTGAAAAATGGTCATATAAAATTAATTATGTTCATTTTTGGCTCATAAAAACAAGCAAACATAAAAAGTGGAAAAAAGGAAACATGAGAAAAATGTAGGGTATGGGCTCTTTAAAATATGCATTAGCATCATGCAAACTGCCAACTAATTACTTCCAGTTCACTGAGAAGGCAAGTTTTAATAGATTCATTAGTTTTTAAATCAAGTAATCAAATTTAATCAAGTAATCACAGCTGCTTTACATACTTGCATGCATGTTTCACATTGAAAACACACTTCTACGTGCTTACAGACAGAGTAGAAAAGCTCTGCTGCATCCCGTGTTTCCATACCTGCTGATGTTTCTCAAATTCCAGTTTGATTGGTGCTTTGATGCAGTTACAAGTGTCCTGGTAGGTCTGTCTGAGAGCGAGATCCATCAGGTGCTTGTGATAGGCGCCTGCCATGTTCCCACAGATAAAGATGATGATGTTGGCCAGGATCTGTACAGATAGAGAGAGAAAACCATCTCAGTTAGCAAGACATGCTCAGAGAGCTACCTTTACACTCACTGGCCACTTTATTAGAAACCTCCTATTGTAGCTCCACTTTGCTGGTGTGCAGTAAGAGACTGTAGCTCATCCATTGATGTACATTTTGAGTTAGCCATCCTCACTTCATGACTGATAAGCCTCTCCTGTCTGAATATTTTTGGGTGGTGGTCCAGTCTCAACCTAGCAGTGATACTAATGTGTGTCCAGCATCGCCGCTGTGTCTTATGCACTCGTACCAGCACCACACACACTACCATGTCAGTGTCACTGCTGTGCTGAGAATGATGCGCCACCCAAATACAGTGGTGCTTAAAGGTTTGTGAACCCTTTAGAATTGTTTATATTTCTGCATAACTTTGACCTAAAACTTTTCACACAAGTCTTAATAGAAAAATTAAATTAAACAAATGAGACAAAAGTATTAGACTTGGTCATTTATTCATTGAGGAAAATGATCTACTATTACATGTCTGTGAGTGGTGAAAGTAAGTGAACCATTAGGATTAGCAGATAATTTAAAGGTGAAATTAGAGTCAGGTGTTTTCAATCAATGGGATGTCAATCAGGTGTGAGTGACCACCCTGTTTTATTTAAAGAACAGGGATCTATCACAGCCTGATCTTCACAACGTAAAGGAGATTTCTGAGGACCTCAGAAGAAGGAGTTGTTGACGCTCATCAGGCTGGAAAAGGTTACAACAACCATCTCTAAAGAGACTCCACCAATCACAGTCAGACAGACTGTGTACAAACAGAGGAAATTCAAGACCATTGTTATGCTCCTCAGGAGTGGTCGACCAACAAACGTCACACCAAGAGCAAGGCGTACTAGATCACAAAGGAACCCAGGGAATTTCTAAGCAGCTAAAGGCCTGTCTCACAGTGGCTAATGTTAATGTTCATGAGTCCACCATCAGGAGAACACTGAACAACAATAGTGTGCATGGCAGGGTTGCAAGGAGAAAGCTGCTGCTCTCTCAAAAATAACATCACTGCCCATCTGCAGTTTGATAAAGATCACATGGACAAGCCAGAAGGCTATTGGAACAATGTTTTGTGGAGGGATGAGACCAAAATATATCTTTTTGGTTTAAATGAGAAGCTTTATGTTTGGAGAAATGAAAACACTGCATTCCAGCATAAAAACCTTACCCATATGTGAAACATGGTGGTGGTAGTATCATGGATTGGGCCTATTTTGCTGCATTTGAGCCAGGACAGCTTGCCATCATTGAATTATACCAGTAAATTCTAAAGGAAAATGTCAGGACATCTGTCTGTAAGTAGAAACTCATGAGAACGTGGGTCATGCAGCAAGACAACGACCTTAAGCACACAAGTCATTCTACCAAAGAATGGTTAGAGAAGAATAAAGTCAATGTTTTAGAATGGCCAAGTCAAAGTCCTGACCTTAATCCTACAGAATTATTGTGGAAGGACCTAAAGCAAACAGTTTATTGGAGAAAACCCACCAACGTAACAGAGTTGAAGCTGCTTTGTTTGGAGGAATGGACTAAAATTCCACCAAGCCAAACTTTAGCAATACGTCTCAAATGATAAAAAGCTACGTTAGTGACTGCATAGAGGAATAGAGGGGGGCTGATATTATGAAACTGTGCAGCAATGGATGGACTACAGTCTGTACACCTACTGTACAAAAGTCAGAGACCACCCTAAATCTAATTTCCACTCAAAAATAAGTCATCTTTCTCAGGATACACCAACATTTTAAGAAAACAAGTTACTATCATGACTTCATAAGATAATATTAAGAAAATAAATGGTAATTAAGTACAAGTTATTTATTTTGAGGAGATATTTGTGAGGATGATAGATAATTCGCTCTACATAAGGAAGGAGAAAGTCAAAAGGTAATATTGAGGTCCAGACCTCAACATCACTGAATGTGTTTGGGATTATTTGGATGGTGAGAAACAGAAAATTCAAAACCAAGTTCTAAGACTGAACTTTGGAGGTGTGGAAAAACATCCCTGCAGATTTCTTTGAAAGACTGAAAGCAAGTCTCTTGAAAAGAAGCTGTATGGAAAAGAGAGTGGATACAGTCAATGCTGAAAAAAAATTATATATTTAATTGTTGTGGTTTATGTGTCATTTTCTGTTAAATAGATGTTTTCTCACAAAATGACTCACTTAATAGTTCTTTGGCCTGGATATTAAATAAATGCAGGGCGGTCTATTCTAAATAAATATTTCTGTGCTTAATCAGTTGAGAGATGTTCCCCGAATCTGAGAGCTGCTTTTGTGTCTAAGGCACTCGGAGTAAAGTGGAGAGTCTGAATACAAAAATACAGCATTTTTACAGTAATGGCAGGCAATGTTTAAAACATTAGCCACAAAATAAACCATGACATAAGATACAGTAGGAAAGCGTCTCGAACTGGCAGGAACGTCCTGCGCTTCGGTGAGCTTTAGGCATAAAAACTGCACGCAGTAAAGGTTCACTCACTGTGCAGATGAGCTAAAAATGTCAGTCATTTTAATTAGCCTCCAAAAACCTCCCACCAATGTAAGCCAGACTGTCATTATTAGCAGATTAAACTGGTCCAGCAGAGGCAATTACACTGTGCTCTTCATCAATTAAGAGCACACAGTCAACAAGGAGCTCCTCTTTCTTTTATTTCTCCATGCTTGTCCTTAGAAGAGGCTGGGTGAGATTAAATTCAGATTCAGCGTGGATTCTATTGAGATGCTGTTTACTTTTCCGCTTTGCCTTTGGACGAGCACATCTCTCTTCCTCTCTTTAACATCCTCTGATTCTTCTCTTCCTTCCTTGCTATTTCAGGTCCGACCCACTTGCCCTGAAAAATGGTGCTTTGAATTTATTTGATTCAAATGAGTCACATCAACACATTTCTCTTCCAAAGTAGCCAACGAAAAACAGCAATTGTGTTTTCGCTACATGAAACTCACTATTGTTTTCAATTACATAAAATTAATAACCGATTAATCTTAATCTTAATGAATTGACGAGCGATTAGATCTGTTTGCTGATGTGTCATCTTGCCAGCTGCTCAGTAACAAAGGATTTGAAGTGTTTTGTTTACAATGAGAACCAGATAGAGTTATTCATAGAATCATGAACATGTGCCAGCCATGCGAGGAAACAGCGGTCACAATGACTACAATACAAATCTAGCCATTTTATTTACTAAAAAAATGACCAGTGAACATGTGTCTTTTAGGGACGTGCCTGGTGACAGTTAACCAAGAACATTCAAAGAACCCTTTCCATGATTAAAGGTTTCTTTGCGTTGTGAAAGCGTTCTTCAGATTGACGCAGAATGTGCTGTAGATGGTTCTATATAGAACCTTTTTGAAAAGGTTTCTGTATATCACTAAAAAGGGCTCTTCTATTGTACCGATGTCAGGCCTGTTACATAGAAGAACCCTTTTTGGTGCTATATATGTGTCAATATGTGCTAAAAAGTACAATAAAAACAAAAACACAGACTTACTTTTCTCTGCTTTAAGCTTTAGCTCAGTTATAGCTGCTTTTCTCGCATCTCCGGCAAGAAACGTTTTCACAAACGTGGAATAATTTCTTGTAAAATGTCTCTCAAAGTGGTGAAGGTCTTTTTCCTGTCCGCCAGCTTCTTGTTTGAATTTTCCCGTACCACCTTAAATTGTGCCTGAACCGCCAGAATGTAGCTAACTATTTAGCTAGCTATTGCAACATTTAAGGTGGAACGTGGAATTCGAAACAAAAAGCTGGCGAATAACAAATCTGACTGTGTCTGACAGTTTCTCGTTGCAGATTAAACGTATCAGGAAACCAGCTGAGTTTATAAACGCAAATAATTAGTCTCCAAATGATCTATGTTCATCTTAAATCTTTCTCTTTATCTTTTTATTAGCTACTAGCTAGGCGAAACTTGTCTGTGTTGCTATGTGACCAGCAGTCTGTGCGCCAATCTTCAAGGTTGGTGAATTAGCAGTTGTACATTCATTTACATGTACAACTCCAGCGTTTTAAGACCATTTATTGTTAAATGGTCTTAGCTCTCCACTCTCCAGTCTTCTGCTTTAATAATAATATGTAAACTTTGCAATAGTGTGCAGTTTTTCTGTAGAATGTCTCGTTCGTACATTTCTTATGTACAGTGTGTTTTATATGGAAATGAGGCTGTGGTCTCAGAGGGGCTGCCCTAAAAAAGAGAAAGCGAGTTTTATTAGGTGTGGACTTAGAGGCAGAGGGCTCTGTTAATATATCACTCTGCTAACTGTAATTACTGAGTAGTAGCCATAAAAGGTTGAAAACAGATCAGGGCCAGTGAGGCACTCCTGCTTTAATTAGAAAACAAACTCACAGTCCTGGTATCACACCGCTGACTTACGACATACAAATATGATACTAAGCCCCTGCTCAAGAGTCCTGTAATCTAAGTGTGGTTAATTTATTTTCAGTGGAAGAACAGAGAGAGCGTGAAAAACCTGAAAGGTCTGAAGGAGAGGGGTCTCAAGCGCCAGTTTGGTCACACTTTATTTGGAAGATCTCCTAAAGATGATCTACAAGTACTTCAATTATTAAGACTTTATGGAGATACTTCAGCAACATTAAGGTGAGAGTTAATGTGGGGAGCAGCTGTAGGTTTTGTGCTGAAGTAATATTAGGGTTTAGCATTTAAGGTCAGGGCTAAATTTGATAAAATCTATCACACCCAACTTCACGGTCAGTTGCATTTAATAGATATTTAGGTGAATGTTAGTTAAAGACAGACTGAGTATCCACAAAGCATCTAGAGTGGACTATCAAAATAAAGTGTTAATGAGAGCTCAACAGTGGCAGTTTCTCGCAAACATTAGACAGAAGTGATTGTGGTTAGAGTACCTCAAAGATTTGACTCAGATGTCAAGGCAGGTCTGAATGTAAAGGCCTCTTAATGAAGGAATACAGGCAAAACGCTCTAACCGTCCAAACAGCACACTGCTTGAGCTTAATGGGGAACCAGCAGGTCGCTGTTTGAGGGTTCTGTGAAAGAAAATGCTCTGCTTTTCGACAGCATCCAAGCCCTTCGTGTTACCATAGCGTTGCCGTGGCGACCGCTGCCACTATTAACCTCTGGTTAAAACATTAAATTTCAGAAAAAGCTCAGATTTCCTCACTAAGTGGGCCAGTACGAGGAGTTCTGCAAGGACGTTTCAACACCCAGCACATGAGCACTGGTGTTCTTGAGTAAGAATAACTGGTTTCTCATTTAAAGGACCCATATGTTACATTTTTACAGTATTTCAGTAAATAGAGTAAAGAAATATTTCACATTTACATGAACTTTATTTCTTAGAGCTGAGAGCTGGTTTTTGCTACTGTGTGTTTAAGCTATATGTAAATGAGCTATCAATCAGAATGATCGGCTGTCGTCTTCTTAAAAATCTGTTATTTTGCAGCTTAGTTTGGACGTGACAATCAGCGTTTTGATATTTTGTAACAATGTTTAAACACTACATTAAACTCTTTTATTTAAAGAATCATTTTGGTTTTCCATGAACACATTTCCTTTAACACATTTAAACCCTGAAATGCATACTTTAAGTCGCTAGTAACTGTATTTCTCCCTCTACCTTACCCTTTTATTTCATATATTTCACATACATATATACATGCAAACATATATATTGGGTTCAGTTTCACTAGCCACACCCATGCATAATTACTGCCAGACTTGTTGAATCTAAACATCATTTAAATAGAACCTGTCTGGCAATGTGAAGCGGCTAGAAGGTCTCAGAAAGCTGTCGGGAAAGGGTTACAAAGCCATTGCTAAGGCTCTGGGACTCCAGCGAACCACAGTGAAAGCCATTATCCACAAATGGAGAAAACTTGGAACAGTAGTGAAGCTTTCCAGGAGGGGCCGGTCTACCAAAACTTCACCATGAGCACACTGACAACTCATCCAGGAGGTCACAAGAGAACCCAGATAAACATCTAAAGAACTATAAGCCTCACTTGTCTCAGTTAAGGTTAATGTACATGATTCCACAATAAGAAAGAAACACGGCAAAAATGGCGTCAATGGGAGAGCTGCAAGACTCAAAGCACTGCTGACCAAAAAGAACATGAAGGCTCATCTCGCATTTGCCAAAAAGCATCTTGTAACATGTAATGCTAACACCACATTCCACCATAAAAACATCATACCAACAGTCAAACATGATGGTGGTAGTGTGATGGTCTGGGGCTGCTTTGCTTCTGCAGGACCTGGACATCTTATCATAACTGATGGAGCCATGAGTTCTGGTCTCTATCAGAAAAACCTGAAGGAGAATGTCTGCCCATCAGTTTGTGACCCAAAGTTCAAAAGCGCAGTTGGGTTATACAGCAGGACAATGATCCGAAGCGCACAAGCATGTCCGTCTTTCAATGGCTCAAAAGAGACAAATTTAAGGTTTTGGAGTGGCCGAGTCAAAGTCCTGACTTGAATCCCATTGAGATGCTGTGGCAAGGCCTTAAACGGTCAGTTCATGCTCAAAACCCCCCAGTGTAGCTGAATTAAAATAATTTTGCAAAGAGTGGGTCAAAATTCCTCAACAGTGATGTGAAAACTCTTTGCAAGTTATCGCAAACGTTTGATTGCAGTTGTTACTGCCAAGGGTGGTACAACCAGTTATTAGGTTTAGAGGGGCAATTACTTTTTCACACGGGTGAAATAGACTTTGAGTAAATCTTTATCTTCAATAAATGGAACAATTATTTTATTATTACTGTTATTGCTGTTGTCAGAAAAAAACCTTGTGTGACATAGTTTGAAAATACTTGTTACCCTTTGCGTTGTTTGTAAATTTCATGAAGAATGGACTAAAAAAATGGCCCAAAATTGCTTGGAAAAAAGTCTGGTTCCATTGACTTACATTAAAAGTAAAGTAGGTTTTTTCAAGGTTTTCGTCTGACAACAGCAATATATATACAGATAGATAGATAGATAGATAGATAGATAGATAGATAAATGCATATTGTTATTGTCAGTAAAATGCTTTGACACTTTTACACTATTAAGGCAGTTTGCCTTGATTCATGCACTGTGATGTATGCCCAGATGCTAATGACCTGAAATATGTAGGAACAGCTGGAGAAACAGCCTTGCATTTACAGGTTAAAGGAAACATCAATATCTCTCAAAATAAAGCTGCTTAACTGGGTCACTTTCTAGAAGAACAGAGCAGCCTGTCCTCAGAGATTAGCCTGGCGTGGACCGGCGGCATGGCTTGAGTGTGGGATCTTTCTGGGTTTAGCTCTGCCAGACGCTCAGCTCTGGCCAGGATGAAGTGTGTCATTAAACAGGGGAAGCCGTCTGGCCTGCAGGTCCCTCTGGCAGACCACAGCAGCCTGAGAAACACGCCCACCACTCAAGACCACAACAGCTAGGCCACCAAAATGGCATTGCAACAGAGAGAGATGAAGCACACTAGGTCTCTATAGCTCTGACGAAGTTTTATAGGACAAGCTGCGTCCTATTTACAACTTTCTGGTGCTCAAGTGGCACACGCTGGTACCAGCTGCCTATTTTGTTGTCCTAGCAATTAAAATAGCAATGAAGGGACACCTGCATTCACAACACATACACTTACCCAGTCAAAGTTAGGGAAAGCCTCATTTTCACAAATAAGCGTGTTTCATTTTTCAGTTTGCAGTAACTTAACATATAAAAGAAGCAGGTTTATTGTTGGGAAAAAATAGCATGTAAATATTTGTGATCATAACTAAAAAGAGGTGTGTGCCCTGTGACTAGTTTTGATATTTGAGTTATAAAAAATAGTGCTTTTAATATATGGCCCAATTCCAAAAATGTAAGCAATTAAAAACAGAAACCAATGACCTTGACCTGTTTTTAACAAAAACAGTATAAAAACAAGAGATTTAATGTTTTATCTTATCAAAATCATTGTTACAGTGACCCTATCTCTATTAAGCGGTTAAAGATGAAGATGATGAAATTTAAGACTAGAAAAATTGTAAAATGTACAAAAACATTTTAAACAGGTGATGCAATTATGCTTGAACATAAAAGAAGCATGTAGAAAAGGCCCAGTCCTTTATGAGCAAGGATGAAGGTCGAAGCTCACCACTTTTCCAAAAAATAAATCAGCCAATAATCCACCAGTCTAAAAATAACATATCTGAATGAGTTATTGTAAGGATTTTTGGGCACCCTCTATGGTGCAGAAGTTCATAACTGCATCCACAAATGCAAGTTGAGACTGTACTTTGTACTTTCAAATTAATTGTTTCCTTCACGTTTTACCCTGTTTTTTGTACTATAATACTCTATACTAACAATGTTTACTATCCGGTGTCGACCAGAGGAGGATGGGTTCCCCTTCTGAGTCCTGGTTCCTCTCAAGGTTTCTTCCTGTTTCTCTTAGGGAGTTTTTCCTTGCCACTGTCGCCACTGGCTTGCTCATGGGGGCTCGGACCCGGACTTCTTTTTGTAATGCTCATTTCCTTGTAAAGCTGCTTTGTGACAACACCTGTTGTAAAAAGCGCTATATAAATAAACTTTACTTACTTACTTACTTACAGTGGAAGCCGTATATATTAACAACATCCAGAAACACCGCCAATTTCTCTGGGCTCAAGCTCATCTGAAATTGACTGACGCAAAGTGGAATGTCTATTGTGATCTGACGAGTTAACCTTTCAAATTGTTTATGGAAATAAAGAGTCTGCATGGTATATAACACACACATGCGTATATATATATATATATATATATATATATATATATATTTTTTTTTTTACTTTCTCCTGTAACGTTACCATTTTGGAGACACAAAGTTTTGTTCCGAGGTTTTGTACTTTGGTGCAACGTGCTGCCTTCTAGATGACACCTCTTTCAGAGTAACCTTTGCTTATTTCGACATGACAACACCAAGCCACATTCTGCACATGCTACAACAGCATGGCTGTGTGATCAGAGGGTGCAGGGGCTAGACTGCCTGTCCAGAACTGTCTCCTGTTAAAAATGTGTGGGGCATTGTGAAGTGTACAATATGACAGTGAAGGCCCAGCATGGTCGTACAGGTGAAGACTTGTTTAATAGAACAATGGAAAAAAAAAAAACTATTCCATAACTGGATCAGTTTATCTTCAGTCTCCAAATGACTACGTTAATCAGTGCTGTTAAAAGAAAAGGTGATGCAATACAGTGGTAAACATGCCCCTGTCCCAGCGTTTTGGAATGTGCTGCTGGCAGTTTGGAGTGAATGTATGTTAACAAAATATAAGTAAATAAGTACATTTATTACGAATCAAAGAAAATATACTTTCTGTTTTTATTACTCTCTAAAGAATGAACACACATACCTGCTTTAACACATTTTGTGTCACTTTTAACACAACATAACCATGATTTCATGACAGATTTCAGAAATTAACAGCTTCATGTTACCACTATGGGTTATTGTCATGACATATGTCATAAAGTTTGATGTCATGACTACACTTAGCAAAACTTAGCATCTGACATAAGCTGTTATGATATGAAACACTATAGAATCTGTCATGAAACTTAACAGTAATGACACTATTATATTACTAAACATAACATTGCCAAATTACTAAAAATGTGTCATGACAACAGAAGACTTCTGCCA